AGAGAGAGAGAGAGAGAGAGAGAGGAGAAATGAGAGAGAGAGAGAGAAAAGAAAGAGAGAGAAATGAGAGAGAGAGAGAGAAATTAAAATAGTATCCGAGAAGCCACAACACAGGTTACTACAATGAATAATGCCTCATATTTGGAGCAAATCTCTGACATCACTCTTCTATCTATACTTATATTAATTTCTCTTGAGTCTGAATGACCTCGTAGATGATCCTCTGAGGATTTTCAGAGGCTGTAAATCACATGCAAGGAAACTGCTTATCTTTTCTCCCCCGAGGAGTTGCTGGTGGGGCTGAACTAGCACTGCCTTTGGGTTAGCTGTGCAACTCCCTGTGGGCTGTGCCACCAGAGTGCCCTTTTACACCTATAGTGACCTTTTAGGATCCAAATAATCCACTTAGTGAGGTGAGGCAGAAGCTGTTCAGAGCCATGAAAGGAAAGCAGAGAAGTGCATGGCCTTCCCGGAGCTTCACAGAGGGTGTAAGCTTCACTGCCTCTCCCTCAGGCGAGGCCCCCTCCCCAGAACCCGGAGCTGGTTTCCATGTCTGTACAAAGCAGGTCTCAGGGGTTGTGGCTGTGAGAACGTCGGCTTCAGAACCAGAGCTTCAGGTGTCAATTCTGGGCTTCACTGGACTAGGTCCATGGTTTTTTATGCAGTCCTCAAGGCTTTCTGACACTCGAATCATTAATGTATGGGATAATAATCATGCTGACAGCATGAAGAGCTATAGAGAGCACATGGAATCATGAATTGGATGGGATCTTGCAAATGCTAAAAGCTTTTCAATGGTTAATTCCTATCACGGCGTAATAGGCCATTCCAAACAATCACTGTCTTTGCACACTCAACCCTTGTTACCTGTTCTGGCTCTTCAGATCGGATCACCACTGTCTCCGGAGTGACACAAGGAATCCTGGGAATGGCTGGAGATTCCACCCTGTGTGCCAGCAACATTGGGAAGTCAAAGAGGTGACCCTTCTAAGCGGCCCCTATCTTACATGGAAGGCCCTAGTCAAACAGGCTATAGCCCATAATAATCTGTCCAATCTCGTTCTGAGCCCTTTATTTTCACATGCATCACAATTATTCTCTTCCATGTGCTGGCTATTCTCTTCAGACCTCTTCCCTTCCCCACTGCCTCTCCAGATCCCAAATGTCCTTCAAAACATAGCAGAAGGATGTGCTTCCCCAATGAGGGTCTCTCCAGCGAGCCAGCCCATTCTGATCACTCCTTATTGTAGCTCCAAATTGTCCTTGTCAATGGAGCCTTCACTCTGGTCACAGTATCTTACTATCCTGTGTTGCTGTATGATCATATGGTGTATATTTTTGTCCCACTAAATCAATTTGTAAGTTTCTTGTGGTCAGGGTTCACTTTCTGTATTTCTTTTCAAGAGCTGTTCAGAAAGTACTAACTGATAAAATGGCCTTAGAGTTTCACATCCTGCTTGTTCAGTCAGAGTTCTTCTGTATCGGACATGGAACTAAGCTGTGTTGCTGTCTTTCAAAAGTTGAAGATTTTAGATGTATTCACCAAATGTTCCTGTATCCAAATGTATCTCCAGTTACATGAAGAAATGAGAAAGGTGTTACAGGCAACACAGATCCTTTGTGGGTTTAACCTCATGTAGTTCACTGCCAAGGAAGATGGGCAGTGTTAGAATTTAGTTTGATAACCCTTCCAGGCATGAATCTTTCTCAGTGGGACTTTCATTGGCAAACTGAGAGTACATGACAGTGGTGGGAGGGTGTGAAGCATGTCTGCATGTCTGTGAGTGACGGGAGGGGAAAACCTGGGAAGAATTTATAGGGAGAGAAGAGCTGCTTTTGGCATCGGCAGGGAGGCCTGTGTCTCCTCTCTGCAGCTCAGGCACAGGGCTAGAGAATCCTGACACAAATCTGGACCCACTGCCCAACCGACCCAGCATTCAGTCAGTGTCAAAGGCACCCCCAAAGCCTGAACTTGGTGCTGCTGTTTCTGGCTCTGAGAGTACTGGCCAAATCCCACGAGAGCACATCTTACACTTGGTCGAGTTTAGGCACGAACTCCAGCAGCTCCTTCTCTTCATCGACATCCCTGGAATCCTGCTTCTCAGCTTTGGAGCCAACAAGGTCTTCACCTGGAACCACATGAGCTTAAGTGAGTGGCAGAACGGAGAGAGCAGACGCCTTGTCCTTTCTTAAAAAGTGTTTTTCCTGGTCCTTCTCTCACTGCTTGCACCTGAGGAGTGGAGGAGGGTCTCTGATGCTCATGGGGGATTATCAGCAATGTCTCTGGCCAGTCCTGTTCCTCTAGCTCTGGTTTATACACTGGGCAGCCTAATGAACATTTTAGCTTGTACCAGGCTTTGTAAAGTGGGGGGAAATATATATATATCTAGGAATAACTTTCTTAATTTAACAAGTCCTACTTCCAAACAGCCCTTCTCAAGTGTCGAGAGACACCAAAGAAAGTTCTTCCAGCCCTTTCCATGCCGTACATTACAGAAGGATCAACTATAATGGAATTGAAACCATTCATTTTGAAGGACTGTAGGATTTTCCCCTAATCATCACAGCTAAGACCTCATTATTTCCTAAGCCCATGACAAAGAGGTTCAAATTATGGGTAAATCAGCTATTGGTAACCTCGACTACCTCTTTGTGTGTCTCTCTCCTTGTCTGAATTAGAGCTGGAGCCTGGGCCCTTGACCTTGTACTCTCATTCACTGTCATTTAACAGTGAGTTTTCTGGCTTTGTGACCTGGAGCTGACAGAATGAAATAACAACAGCTCATGCAGTTATTATCACAAACACAGCGGCATGGGCACGAACACAGAGATGGACAGGCAGGAACGACCTGCCAGGGAATGGATAGTATGATTGTAAATTTCCTTTTGTGGTTAAGCTCCCGACTCCAGAAGGCTTAGCCGTCAGAGGAGGGTGGAAAGCAGGGATGGATTAGTGAGAGCTTGGGTTGCTTAGGGTGAAATGCACTCTGGTGAGAAAGGACCACAGGGAACAGAAAGCGATTCATACCCATGATAGTTATATGAGCGGTTCCTGGAAAGCAAAGAAGAGCCAAGTTTAAGGAAGAACAGGACTGAAGTCAGTTTCAGTGAGAGGCATAAATATATATTATCAAAGGGCACACAAGGACAGCTTTCACTAGCCAGCTGGCAAAGTCATATCATCACTGAGCTACACAGATAGAATGGACTGTAGCAATAATCCAGTCCAGCCTCATTATTCTACCTCATAACGATTTACTTTCTTTTTTTTTTTTACGATTTACTTTCAAACTTAAGGAAATAAGGCATTACAACAGGAAGGAAAAACACTAAAAGTATTCTGTGGTTCATGGATGCTGAAATTCAAGTATTTCTATAATAATAGGTATATCGCCAAATCTTACTGATACCCTGACGTTAGAAGAGCAACTTATATGAAGAAATTCCTACAGAATTTACAAGAATTTGTTCTTTGTTCAGAGCACAAGGAAAGCATCGCAGAAGTTCATTATAGTTCCTCGTAGCTCTGATAATTGATGTGAGTAGGATTACCTTCTAGTTTGATATACAAGCCAAATATATACAACCATAGTTATTCAGGAAGCTTCATGGAATTTTATATTCTGAGTTGTAAATTTTCCTGCTCTGAAAATGATATTAAAGGTGAATTTTTGATAACAGATAACCTTTTTTATAAGTGGCTATCTCTGGTTACAATTTAGATCTGCAGGATTTGGGTGTCCATGAGAACGCTTGAATGCAATATGGCGGGCGTCAGGAACCACTGACTGAGTGAGTGCTCAGGGCCTCACCTTTCCCCTTCAGCCTGACTCATTATCCCAGACTTTACCTTCATCTTCAGAGACATCCAGAATCTCATCTACTGTCTCAGGGAAGCTCATCCGGTGCTTGTCACTGACTAACTGGAATGAAAAGAAGCAGAGGATTCAGCCCAAATGAAGCACTGGGCCCTTTTACCAACACAGGAGCTCACAATGCAGAGACCGTGGGGAGGAGCCAGACATCTCAAATGAAGGAAACAATAGCTATGGGGCTTTCAACTTGGAAACAAACGGCTGTGTGGCAGAAACCAAGAGGAGAATAAGCAGCAAACTCCAGCTTCCCTTTCCCTAGTCTCTTCCCACATTATCATCTTGCTTTTATCTCCTTACATCTGGTCTCAGCCTCAACTGCTCTGGCCACTAGGTGGCAGGACAACTTCATTTGATGTCTGAGGAACCACCATTCCCATTCTTTAGACTTCTTACCAGCCAGAGAATTTACTCCACTTGTGGGAGGTTAAGCCATAGGGACATGATATTGGTTGGCAGCATGTTTGAGAGGGAAGTGAGAGGAGGGAGAAGTAGACATACCACCACACTTGTTTCATCAGTGACAACCTTGAGCACGTCGGTTACAGAAATGTAACCCAGGCGCTTGGCTATTGCCAAAGGTGTGGTTCCATTCTGCGAAGAGAAGCAGAGAGAGCATAAGACTAAGCAAGGAATGCTCCCTCATTCACTTGCATATACACAGGCTCACCTTCTGGTCATTCAGTAGGGTCTCAGTGGACAGAATCTGATCAGAGTTCAAAACAAGATCCCTGTGCTCAAATAAAGCTTTCTTCAGGCCCCGATATGTGTTAGTGGGCATGTCTACAAAGGCAAGGGGAATTTTAAATCTAGAATACTGAGCATGTGGGTCTTGAAATGAAAACTGGGGAAATATTACTGGGACAAGCAAAGAAATGTCACAAGGGAACAGACCAGGAACGAATGGGTGGAAAAAGTCACCATACGCAGTTTTAAGACTATAAAGAGTGCAGTGCAATGCCATGTCCAAAGAACTCTCTGAGTCAGTGACTAAATAAACACTGTGATCTTTTGCTGTCACTGAGTCGGTCCCCATTTCATGATGACTTTGTGCACAACAGAGTCAGATTGTTGTGCTCCTTAGGTTTTCAGAAGTAGATTTTCAGACCTTTCCCCCTCGTTTGTTGTTGTCTGGAAATATGTAGAGAATCATGGCAAAATGTACCCTTCCCCTGACGGATGGGTAATGACGTGCTTGAAGTGCACTGGCCTGGATTCAGACCCATATTTCCCCTACAAATGGTGAGAATTCTACCACTGTCCTCATGAAAAGAGTGAAAGTAATAAATACGCCTCGATGAATAATAATCAAGCAAATAAAAATGATAAATCACCCGAGTTAAGGTGGTGGTTGTTCTTATTTGCCTTCCAGTCATAACTGTCTCATAGCTCACCCTCCAGTGGGTTTTCAGAGGCTGTAAATTGCCCATTTTTCTCCTGCAGAACAGCTGGTGGATTCGAACTACCTGCTACTGAGTTATCAGGACAGCTCCTTACCCTCTAGGCTATCAGAGCTCCCAAAATTAGGGTATGTGTATATTTTACATTCTGCTTTTAAGGGAAAGTTGTGATTGTTAAGCAAGTCTAAATAGAAGAGAATAAAATGTTGCCTGTTCCTTATCATCCTCAAAATTGTCGCTGTGTTGCACCCCCTTGATGTAGCTAACGTGTCAATTCATCTCACTGAGGGGCTTCCTCTTTTTTTGCTGACTCCCCAGTTTTAAGAAGCATGATGACCTTTTCTGGGGTCTGGTCTCTCGTGACGGCATGTTCAAAGTGAGACAAGGTCTCACCATCCCAGCTGGTAAGGAGCATTTGGCTGGACTTCTTCCAAGATAGATTTTTACATTTTTTAGCAGTCTTTCGTATATTCAATATTTTTCAACATCACAATATAAACGCATCAACGATTTGCTATTTCTTATTGACTGCCTGACTTCTACTTGCTTATACTGTTGCTGTTAGGTGTTATCCTGTTGGCTATGCCTCATGGTGACAGATTTACAGTCGGTTCATGGTCTTACTCTAACTGATGAGACTGATCACTGCCACTTTACCCAGATGTAGCTGATTCAATCCCTATGTATTTCATCTAGTAAGATCCACACACATTTTCACCTATTAAGCTTTTGAAAAAGACGTTATTTCTAAAGAAGAAACCATAATTGTTGCTGTTAGGTGATAGCAAGTCAGTTCTGACTTAAAGTGCAAAAGAACAAGCCCTGTCCAGCTTCCGCATGCATCTGAACTGACTGAAAATATCATGGGTTGGGTCAGGCCTGCCTTAGTCTGCAAAGTGACATCCTGCTTTTTAATGCTTTAAAGAGATCCTTTGCAGCAGATGTGCTTAATGCAATATATGTCTTTTGACTTCTTGACCGTTGCTTCGATGGGTGTTGATTTTGGACCCAAGTAAAATCAAGTCCTTGACAACATCCACAGTTTCTCCATCTGCCATGATGTCCACCTGTGAGAATTTTAGTTTCATGCTGAGGTGTAATCCATACTGAAAGTATCTGATCTTCTTCAGTAAGTGTCTGAAGCCTTCATTTTCTGCAAGCAAGGTTATGTCATCTGTGTATCATGGGTTGTTGATGAGTCCTCTTCCTCCAGTGCTGATGACATGTTCTTCCTCATATAGTCCTGCTTCTTAACATTACTTCCAAGCCATTAGGATTGCAAAATGCTATCCTGTGATCATTAGCATTGTTTCTATAACTAAGGTCATATTTTCCAACTATTATTAATCCTTGGCTTTCAACTTCTAAATTCAAATCACCAGTAATTATTTATGCACTTTGAATGCATGCCCTGATTGATTTAAAACTGCCTAAGTCGGTAAAAATCTTCAACTACTTCATGTTTGGCTTTCGTAGTTGGTGCATGGGTATTATCTAGCCCTGAGGGCAGATTTCAAAGTGTTATTTTTTGATAATTAATGCAACATCATTCCTCTTCTATAGTCTGATGATACCTCAAAGGCTGTACATTTCCAGTGGTTCAAATCCACCAGTGTTGGCTCCATGGGAGAAAGACTGGCAGTCTGCTCCTGTTGCTATGGACAGACCTGGAAGCTGATGTAGGGTAGCTTTGAATTTAACAGACATGACAGCAGGGAGTTTCAGGTTTTCTTTGCATTTGAATGCCTTAGACATCAATCTTTATGTGTCACACTTCATTTCTGAAGATTTCCAACCTTCTTTGATTCCTACTTTACCCATTTCATGTTCCAATTACTAACGAATGCTTTACCAGCTGTTTCATCTTATTTTAAGCTGTGCCACATCAGCAAATGAAAGTCTCAAAAGTTATCATCCATCCACGTAATTAAGGCTGATTCTGCTTGGAGGAGGCAGCTTCTCCCCAGTCCTATTTTGAGTACTTTCCCACATGAGAAGCATAATCTCCAGGATCAGGGCAAACACAAGGCACCACAGGACAAAACACGGCCAGGGGAGTGGTGGTCCCGAGAAAGGACTATGTGAAAGTAAACAGAGATTGAGGTCATTCCTATCACCTCTCATTGAGCTCTTTAGTTGAGGGTATGCCCTAGGGGCCATATAGAGTCAGTCACAACTACACTTAAAATTTGAGCACCCACATCTATCCTCAAGGGACCGTCTATTTCCTCTGCTAGAAGAAGCTAAAGAGATGATCTAGTAAAACTTCCGCATTTTAAGATGAGACATTTTAGGTAGTACAATGATCATGGATGTTGGTAAGGATATTCCTAAGACTTTAAAGCATCATGAATTACCTGAGAAACTGAATTTTGTGCATTTGTGCCTACATAAGCAGTTGCGTGGATTTTAGAAAGGGATTCAACAGGAAGAGTCAGACAAAAAGGAGTTCAATGAATAATTATTGAAAACAAAATATGGCTCTAAATATACACTGAAAAATAAACATGAGTTCTAAATATATATTTATACAATTTTTGCTCTTCTGTTTGAATATTTTATGTATCAATGTATTCTTTCAGATATTAATATTTTATATTTAACATTTAGACCTTTCTAAGTATGATTTATTGCCTTTTTTATTTTATTATTTTTGTGTGAGTGTACCATCAAATCAGATCTGACTGATACAGGAGGAGATTGTCCCTCCTTCCCCGGCAGAGCATCTGATTTATTGCCTTTTAATATTGCTATGTTTTAAGACAGTATTTTGTTAAGCTGCATCGTTGCTGTAATTTTATCAGTCTTTCATAGTGACTTGGCTGAATTCTTATAGCCTTTATATTCATGGTCTCCCCTTTTCCTCCCTAATATCTGCATTACCTTGATTTACATTCCTGAGCTTAAAAATGAAGCCATAATACATTAACTTTATTTGTATTGTTTTCTTAGTTGTGTTATTTAATCTGTTTTTAACACAGATTTTAAATTATTTTTTGCTTTTTAAAAATATGATGTTTAAAAGGACAACCTTCAATTAACCAGAAAGAAAACCTGATTTCAGCACCGTCATTCAGGTCCCTCAAATAGCTCCAACTGTCCTGTCCTGCAATGTCTGCCTGGTCTCTGTGCAGGAAGGACAGACTGAAAACATGGATGACCAAACTGAATGTGTAATTAATTTCAGTTTACATCCAAATGAACTTCTAGTGTTAATCCATTAACAAGTGGCACAGGGCTGCCCATGGAGATAATTTTTGTGGAATAAGAACCCCCCTGGATACTCACCGAGCTGACCTCATTTGGGGAAGCACCATTTTTCAGAAGAAGAGTCACAATGTCTGTATGTCCTTGTTGGGCTGCTTGATGCAAAGGGCTGTATCCAAGCTATAGAGAGACAGACATCTCGGTAAGGTTAACCACCCACCTATTACAGAGCTTAGACATCTATCATGAAGAACATTCAAAAGAATGCATTTTCTATAATTTCTCTTTCAGGGTCAAAGTTAAAAGCCCAAAGTGTACCCAAAGTAGCTTCTGGCTGAACACTAATTTGCCAATTAAAAAGCATCAGCCAAGGGTCAGGTCTAAGGCGTCCCTGTACCTTGGTCTTGGCATTGACATCAGCCTTGTGCTGCAGCAGAAACTTCACCAACTTAATATTTCCATAATGACTAGCCACATGGAGTGGAGTGTAACCCATCTGAAAAGCAAGAGATGAGAATGAGTGGTGATCAGGGCTTCGGGGCAGACCAAGATTCTTGGATTCTGTGTTATGCTTTACAGAAGGTCTTATAAAAGGTCTTATACTTGATTAAAGGAGAGGCTGGATGGAGAAACATTTTAGAAAGGTGACAGCTGCTGTGAGGTGGAAGATGTATTTTTCTTATCACCAGACACTGTGGTCTGGGAAGGTATATGATCTAGACATGTGAACTTTTAGATGCTTTTGAAAGAACCAGGTGGAGAAGACAAATAGGCAATTAGAAAATTAATACTGAACCCCATGGAGAAGTCTAGGGTAAAGATGTAAATCTGTAGAGAGGAAAAAGCAGGGGCTAAGTATTGAGGATGAAGAGATTGAGGCTGTTAACAATTACAGCTTGCTCAGCTCCACAATCAACACTCTTAACATCAGCAGTCAGGAAATCAAAAGATGAATTGCATTGAGAAAATCTGCTGTCAGGGACTTTTCCAAAGTACTGAAAAACAATGGTGTCAGTCTAGAGACTAAGGTGTGCCTAATCCAGGTCATGGTATTCACAATTACTTGCTATGTGTCAGAGAGCTGGATGATGACTACGGATGACAAAAGAAGAATTGGTGTCTTTGAGTTGTGGTGCTGGAGAAGAGTCTTGAACATACCATAGACTGACAAGAAAACAAACAGATCTGTCTTGGACAGGGTGAAACCAAGTTTTTCCTTGGAGTCTAGGATTTTGAAGCTCTGTCTCACATACTTTGAGCACATGGCCAGGAGAGACTGATCCGTGGAGAAGGACATCATGTTTGGAAGGGTGTAGAGAAGGCTCAGGAGAGGAAGACTCCGGATGAGGTGGGTTGACACAGTGACTGAGGCAATGGGGGCTGGTGTGTCAAAATTAGTGACACTGGCTGAGGACAGGGCAGCATTCAGAGCTGTTGTACATAGGGTTACGCTATGAGTCACAGGCTAATTGATGGCACATAACAACAAGAAGTACTGAGGCACTACTTCAAAACAAAAAAGACCTCATTCCTGTAGAGTCAGAACCAACATGGGAGAAGACTGTCTATTTTTCTCCCTCAGAGCCACTGATGGATTCAAACCACCAGAGAGGCATGGTAGGTATTCAGAGGCAGTGAATTACACAGGAGACGGCTCATCTTCTGCGGAGCAGCTGGTAGGTTTGAATCGCCTGCCTTTGGATTGGCAGTACAACTCCTTACCACCAAACCATCAGAGCAACTTAACCGGCAAGATCTAGAGCTCTGTAAATACTGAGAGTCTCTGTGAAGAGCTGCAAACAGTTGGAAGGAGCACCAGGAGACATCATGTTACAGGGCCAAGGGAGATGATTTCAGGAAGGAAGGAAGAACTATTAGGCCCCTTGAGCTTGAAAAGGCTAAGGTGAGGAAATGATAGCAAGGAAATTACGGATCCCACCAAGAACTGGCTGTTAAGCTGGAAAGATGAAACACCATTATTGTCAGGCATCATCAAGTCTATTTCAACTCATCGCAACCCCAGGGTTTTCTAGCCTGAAATCTTTGCAGGAGTAGATCACTAGCACTCTTCTGCATGGAGTCTAGTTGGCTCAAGCCACCAACTTTATGATCAGAAACTGGGTACTTTGCCTTGTGTACCACAAGCCGAAACGTCACCACTGTCTACTCAATTCTTACTCATTGTGACCCTCCATCAGGTTTCAGAGGTGGCAAATCGTTATGGGAGGAGACTGCTCATCTTTCTCCCATGGAGTAGCTGGTGGATTTGAACCACTGACCTTCAGTTAGCAGCATAACACGTTACACCCAGTGCTCCCAGGATTATAAAGAACTTCTTGAAATGTCCTTGCAGAAAACACCAAAATGTTGTTTGAGTTACTTAGCTATAGTACAACAGACTTAAAGGACTTGACCACTGTTAGAATAGTGGGCTTTGGGTATTCATTTAAGGAGCTAACTTTACAGGAACCTGTCCTGTTAGTTATTTTGTTGTACCTGAGGGGAAGCAAGTTGAGGATCTTTAAAATCTTTGGTGCAAAGTATCCTTGGGGAGCTGGAGCCAGGTTCCAGAGATAACATTAACACAGGCCCTGCATAGGGTGACTCTGGGACCCTGAAGATAGGACCCAAGTAGACTTAAATGGGATCATTAGAGAAGCCTCAATGATCCAGAACATTCTCAAGTTTTAAGTAGATTACACTTGAAGCTTCAAACAACTAGGGATGAAAAAACAACATCTAGGATTTTTTTCTCCCCTAGGGATATATTTCAATATAACATTGCCCCTTCCTTTTACAATAATATCAATTGCCTAGTTCGGGAAGGCTTCTTCCAGGAAGCCTCCCTCCTCCTAGCTAATGGGAGTACTCTCCCCTGTGTTGCCAGGGTGTTCAGTTCCCCTCTTCTATCAGTTACCAGATCTTGTTGCTCATTCCTGTCTCGTACAAACCTCCTGCATACGGATCTGCAAATGTCTGGAGGGCAGGGACCACCGTGTGCTGTTGACACGATTACCCTCACACCACCTCCTGTAGCTCTTTGCACACAGAGGAGGTTCAAAGAAAGTTTAATTGAATTTAGCCAAACGCTTAAATAACAGGATGAGTTCTAGCTTGAACACCCAGAAGTCTAACATTTTCACATTATTGAGATAAGATCCTGAAATCATGGTCAAACAGTCCCTTCCTGCAGTCTCTCACTGCAGAGGCTCAAAGGTCTAGCAAACATTTTAAGATCCCCAACCGAAAAGTCAGAGAATTCAGATTGGTTTTTGCAAAGTCTGCTCCCAGAGAGGCTATGATCAGGAAAAATGCATCCCTGGATTCACAGCTGTTCGGAAGAGAACATTCAGAAGTGTGAAGGTAGTACCACTGGGGAAGATTGTGTGTATGTGTGTCGGGGAAGTAGGATGTGAAGGTAGGGGCCAAACACACAGGCCGAAGTGTGAGGCTGCTGCTGCCTTACCCGGGTGGTGGCATCCACGGTGACACCATGCTTGATCAGCACATCTGCCACTGGAACGTGGCCTTCTTGTGCTACCAGATGGAGAGGCGTGAGGCCACTCTGCAAAGGAAAAATGCACATCACCATCCAGTGCAGAATTCTAGGCCACAGTGCAAGTACTGAGGGAACGAACCCTGACTCTTCAGCAGCCAGTGAGCTTTTCTGTCCAGGGCAAAGCTCTTTCTGTTCTGGGCCTCAACATTCTCATCCAAACCAGGATATGGACCAATTAGATCAGGAGTCAGCAACTTTTTCTGTAAAAAGGCCAGCCAGTCAGTATTTTAGACTTGAGTTTCTGTTGCAACTCCTCAATTCTCCAGTTGTAATAAGAAAACAGTTAGAACTAAAACGTTATGGGCATGATTGTGTTCCAATAAAACTTGATTTACACAAACAGGTGGAGGGTCCTTCACTTATGTCTAAACTAGATAAACTTTAACGTACTTTCCAACTGTAACATTGCCCATTTCCAAGATGAAAAATGAGCTTCAGAGCCCTGGTTTCCTTATGAAGAAAACAAGGTTTATTACAGACCAGCCTCAAAAGTGGGATAACCCAGCTGAAGGGAGTCTGAAAGCAGTATGTGCCATTTAAATATGATTATTCTGATATCAGGCTAATGACAAAAGAGGATATAAGGTCATGCCGAGAGTGAAAGATCACATTCCTAGACTTCTCATCACAGCCTCCTCATGAGATATTAGTGCTATCAGAGAGCTTATTTAGCAAATGAGCACAAACCCAAATACATGATAAAGAAATAATATCTCAATAAAACCACTATGACAGAAGTAGTAGTTCTTTCTTAGTCTTTCTCGGGCATACTTTTAGAAGCTGATAGAAATGATGAAAAGTGTTCGTGTACTCATTCTCTAAGAAAGCTGTACACAATTTTATGTGTCATGCTTATACACCCTTGTTTGAAAGCCCCTAGTCAAAATATAGGTCAGAATGTTAATTTATTTTATTGTTATAGATAGACATCAAAACACACCAATTCAGCCAATTCTATATGCAGGATTTAGTGACATTGATCACTAGCTTCGAGTTAGATCAATACTCTTAAAAATAACTTCATTCATAGAAAATGAACTTTTAGCAGTACATTATCTAATACCTTCCTGAATATAACAGATCCCTGGCCTATGTTTGGGACTGTGGGCTGGAGGTTTTAATACTGATCTTCTGCGCAGATTCTTGAGTCAATCTATGTAGAAATGCATACTGGTGTCTAAGGGAAGGATCAGCAAAGGGTTGGCATTAGGCTCTGTTTATACTACTGACTGGCTTAGGACTATTCAATCTTGGCAATCTAATTCTGCTGCCTTATTGATAGAACAAAGATACACATCTTATAAAAGGTTGTTGGAGGGTTTATAGACAGACAGATACATGCATACGTGTGTGTGTACACGTCATCCACTAATCCAGAACCTGGGTAAGCACTCAGTATTCAGATAAACTATCTAGCTTGGGGACATTCACTCACACATCACTTGAGACAGCAGGACAAATGGGAAATGCAATATTTACCTTATTCCCCAGATTGCCATTGGCTTGTCTGGAGAGAAGCAGAGCGACCATCTCCGCGTGCCCCTCCTGGGCAGCCAGGTGGAGGGGTGTCACTCCTTGCACCGACTCGGCATTCGCTGACCCCCCATACTGCAGCAGACTGCGGGCCACCTCCATCTGGTTCTGCTTGGCAGCAATGTGCAAAGGCGTGTAGCCATTCTGAAATAGAAGAAATCACCTCGTGCCTGCTCACAGGAAGGCTGAGCTCACATCACGGTGCACCCCTTAACTTCTCAATCGTCTGCTCAGGCATCCACAGAGCAGGGCTGGTACCACTCAAGTGTCACTCAGGAGAGCAATCTATGTAAACAAACAAATAAGATCTCTGTGCTTCAGACAGCTCTCAAGGTTCCTATAGCCAGTAAATGTCTTGTTCTGATTTTGTTGTTGTTGCTGCTGCTTTGTTTTTGAACAGTCTCCTTTCTGTTGTCACACTCAGGCAAACTGCTAGGCTAGAAGTCATCAGGAACAGCTAGGATCCAATTAACCATCAGGCTAGATAAGTGAGTATATGACCCATCTTACAATAAGAACCAAACCTGTCACATAGTATATAAAGGAAAGGGATTTTCCTCTATGTGGTGGTCTTGTTTACCATCAAGCCGGAACCAACCCATAGCTGACCCTCCAGCGGGTTTTCAGAGGCAGTTAATCACACTGGAGGAGATTTTCCTACCTTCTCCCACAGAACAGCTGGTGCATTCAGACCTCGTGCCTTCAGTATTATAGTGCAGCTTCTTCCCACTAGGCTACCAGTGCCCCCTGGGCTTGCTTGCATCAAGGCAGCTTCAAGGTATGAAATGTGAAGGTATGGGAACTAGGCTTAGATTGACCCTTAGTTAACATGACGTGTGATCTTCAGTAAGATGTCCAATAATCTTGGCGTGTTTTTTTTTAGAAAAAAAATCCTTAAAAGTGGATATTAAAAAAAAAAATCAAACCCACTGGCACTGAGTTCAGTCCTATCCATAGCTAAGCTCCATCAGGTTCTGAGCTTATAAATCTCTACAAGAGACTGTGTCCATTTTTTTCTCCCTTAGAGAATCTGGTGGGTTTGAACCACTGACATTTTGGGCAGCAGCACAACTCTTAATGTATTATACCATCAGAGCTGCTTTCAAAGTGGACAATGGCATCTATCTGTTAATTGCTTAAAGTTGTTGGTATGGACCAAATAGCACACTGTATGTGAAAGTGCTTTCTACAATTAAATTTAAAAAAAAGTCAATAAACTTTTGTGCCATGGTTTTGCATGCTGCTTAGAGTGTGGCCTATGGGTTATTGGTTCAAAAGTCATCACATTATAAGGAGCCTGACTAAAAAAATCAACCAGGTCACTGCGGGCCGCTTATCTAGATAGTTATACTGGACAAGGGGTTGCCAGACCTTCTCAATGAAGGAAGCAGCGCATGGATTTGTACTCTGGACATGCTAATTATCCCACTGCTGGCAGGTAACTGTCCACGGAAGGGCTTCTTCGGTCATCACTATTACAAACTATTTTCACCTAACACTCTTCTTTGAACTTCACAGACATTAAACAAGGGAAGTAAAACAAAACTCCAAAAGAACAAACAAATTCTGCCTTGACAGGATGCGTACCACGGTGCTCCTTAAAGGCAAGGCTGGTAAACCTTGGTCTCACATACCCTGGGCATATTGTCAGGAAGGGCCAGTCCTTGGAAAGGACATCATGCTGGGAAAGTCAGATTGTCAGTGAAGAGGGGAAGGCTTTCTGAAAGACAGATGGGCTCAGAGACGGCAACAATGGGCTTGAGCAAGGCGGAGATGAGGACAATGGTGCAGGATGAGGGGCGGGTCATAGGGATGTTACAAGTAGACCTGATGGTGCCTAACCACAACAAAACAGGAACAGCCACTTCCCATCCCAGCAACCCACGTAAAACAAGGCAAAACGAACAGTTGCTATCAAGTCAATTCTGAATCACAAGGCTCCACCCCATGTGTTGGACTAGAACTATACTCCCCATGCTTTCAGTGACTGAATTTTCAGAAGTAGATTGTCAGGCATTTTTCTTGAAGTGCCTTTGGGTGGATGGGAACTTCCAATTATTCAGCTTTTACTGTTGCATATCATCGAGTCGGAACCGACTCATAGCTGATCCACTGGCAGGTTTTCAGAGGCAGTTAATTGCACAGGAGGAGATTAGCAGCCAAATTAACCATTTGCACCACTCAGAATGAACATCTATTATACATCTTATCTGACATCAGTTAGCAAATGGAACAACAAATAATCCAACCCTGGCCTTCTGACTCTAAATCCTGGCTTCATGAAACTACAGCAAGGTTTCTCAAATGCCAGCATACATACAAATCACTGGGGATCTTGTTAGAAAGCAGATTCGGATTCAGGAGAGCCCAGATCCAGCATTTCTAATAGGCTCCCAGGTGATGCCGTGGGTCTGGGACCACATTTTGAAAGACAAAGCCTGAGAGCACTCAGGGCGAAGAGGAGGCCAGGTCGGAGGGCCTCCTGGTAGGACTTTCTGGGCTGTGCCCAGCACAGTCCCACAACAGAGGGCTACCTAATGTGTGATTAGTTGTAAGGCCCATTGTTTCTTCATCTCAGCCAGTGTTCATCAGAGATCTGAATTCTCTTCTGGCCCGCCACTGTCTTACTGAGGAAAACAACACTGCTCATTCTGTTCTGCCAGGATAAAGAAAAAGAAAAAGAGGAAAAGAGGCTCAACACGGTAAAATAGACGTTTGGTAGCACTGAAGACAGCGGGAGTGTCAGTCTGTGAAAAAGATTTTTTTTTAAAAAAAAGATTTTATGTGAAAATGCAGGATATGAACAGGCACTTCACCGAAGACGACATTAAGATGGCTAACAAGCACATAAAGAAATGCTCAAAATCCCTAGCCCTAAGAGAGATGCAAATTAAAATAACTATGAGATATCATCTCACCCCAGTCAAAATAGCTAAATTTAACAGAACAGCAAGCAACAAATGCTGGCGAGGTTGTGGAGAAACTGGAACCCTGATTCACTGTTGGTGGGAGTGTAAAATGGTGCAACCCCTGTGGAAAGCAGTATGGCGCTTTCTCAAAAAGTTGCAAATAGAGATACCATTTGACCCAGCAATTCCACTACTGGGAATATACCCTGAAGAGACCACAGCTGACATCCAAGCAGATATATGCACACCCATGTTTATTGCAGCTTTGTTCACAATAGCAAGGATTTGGAAACAACCTAAGGGCCCATCAACAAACGAATGGCTAGAGAAGCTGTGGTATATTCGCACAATGGAATACTATGCTGCATTGAAAAACAAGAAACTCATGCAATATTATTCAAAATGGTTGACTCTGGAGAACATTATGCTGAGTGAAATATCCCAGTCACAAAAGGACAAATATTACATGATGCCACTGTTGTAGAATGGGACTAACCTAGGGGTTGGGGAGAGAATGAGTAAGATGGGTTCAATAATGTATATTGCACTGAAACAGAGGAGGGAGAAAACTGTTTAAAAGAGATATGTGACTAGGTATTTCTGTCATCACAGGAGTCTAGAGCGACGGCTCCATGGTGGAGGGGACCTGGGGGAGGGTTTGTAAAACAATGAAAGAATCTTTTCTTTTACTTTTCCATAATTTTTGACTCATGTACTTATAACTTGTTAGTTAAATTTATGTCTTCTAGGTTGCAACCCCCCCATGATACATCTTCAAGGATATTGTACGGCTAAGCACAATTAATAACAGTGCATCTAAATTCCAAAATCAATCTCCATAATAGTCTATGTGTTTCCTACTGTCAAAGGGGCCCTTTGGAGTAGTGAGAGAAGATCTTCACCCTGAAACCCACAGCGTCCCTTTTCAGCAGGAAGTAGCTAAGAGAATACGCCATCCCCTTTTCCTTATGAATCAGGGTGAAGTCTCTCTCAGGGAGGAGTGATAGGGAATGGCAAAGGACACACTGACAAAGGAGATTAATCAGAACTGACTTTGACAAGCACTGTGGCAATTGGACAATTAAAACAGACATTCGGATGGCGGGGGAAGAAGAACAAACTGGGGAGGAGGGTAGAGAGAATGGTGCAGCAATGAAGGAATGAAAACCCAAAATCCCTGTAAATGTTAATTAAAATTAATAAAATTTAATAATTAAAAAAATGAAAAAGATTTTATGTGAAAATGAAAGATGTAATTTACTAAAAGAATTAAATGGAATAAAAAATTATTCTCTTTGAAGGATCAGGTAAATCATCTGGTGTTCCTACTTTTTAGTGTTTTTAATTATAAGAAAACATGAAACTTTTCTTTTCCTATTTTGTACATGTAAAAAGGTTGCAATTCTGATTATAATAAAATGAAGTTGTTGTTGTTATTGCTGTTGTTGTTATGTGCTGTTAAGTTGCCTGCAACTCATAGTGACCCTATGAACAAAAGCCCTAAGCCCTGCTCTATCTTTTGCCAAACTTATTGTCTCTGACACATCTACCCCCACTACCCCAGTCACTGAATCAATCCATCTCATCAAGGGTCTTCCACTCCTGCGCTGTTGCTCTACCCTCCCAAGCATGATGTACATCTCCAAGGACTGGTCCCTCCTTACATGTCCAAAGTATGTCAGACTAAGCTTCAGAATCTTTGCCTCCAAGGAACCGCCTGGTTTCAGCCTCTCCAGGACGAATCTGTTTGTTCTCTTAGCAGTCCATGGTATATTCAACACTTCTCCAGCACCACAGTTCAAACTTAATTTTTTATTCATTTTTTTTGCTGGAAGGAGAGGTGAAGACAGAGATGTGGTTCAAAGGATTACACCAGGGATCTGGACACGGAGGGCCTGGGTTCCTGCACGTCATGCCATGTGGGGCTGGGTGACCTTGGAGAAGGAGTGAAGGTCTCAGGTTCCCTAAGAGGTGGATCACAGAGCATCTCTCTGCTCAGAGCTATTGTCAAGACAAGACAGGATGGGGCAAGTGAAGCGCCTTACCAGTACCTGGTCTAGAGGGGCCATTCCTTCTAAGAGAACAACTCAAACCCATTGTCACTGAATCTGAACGGACTCACACGTGACCCTCAGAGATGGCAAATCACATAGTCTGTTCATCTTTCTCCCTTTGGAGCAGCTGATTCGAACTGCCAACCTTCAGTTTGGCAGCACAACTTCTTAGCCATTAGGCCACCAGAGCTCCTCTTAAGGGCAACTAGGACTTCTTTTAATATATTCAGGACGTGTTGTTGTCACGTGTTCTCAAGTTCATTTTGGGCTCCAAACAATACAATGTGACATGGAAGAACTGCTCCATACAATTCTAGGAGATAATCTGTCCAGGAGCCTTGGGCTCCTCTAGGCCAGGTACTGGTAAGGTCAGGTTGGTCTACTGAGGTGCTGCTGAGAGCTTCAAATTGCCAACCTTTTATTCAGTTGCCTGGCTTTTAACAAGTATGTCACCAAGGCTTCTCCAGGACAACTGCAGAGGAATCTTAAGTAAATTCATGGAAAGATAAGTAGAGGCCTCAGGCTTCTTGGGCAGCTGTGAATGTCCACCCTGGCAAGAACAATCCTCTATCCTGGCCAAGGTAAGTTTGCGTGGGACACAGATGGGGTTAGAACCCAGAGCAAGTTGTCAATCCCAGCAGAGGGGCCTCTGTGCTTCCTCAGAGCCAGGATTAAAGGAAATGAATGACCTCCCTGGAGGGGCAAGGTGAAATAGGAAGAGGTTGGGAAGGTTTATGTGCTAGAGAAAGGCTCTAGGAGCCAAAGGAAAGGAACTCATCCCAAGGAATGCACATGAGAAAAATCTGCCAAAATGTTAAAACAATATCAGCATCAAAATTAGAAAGCGCAGGATTGGTTTGGGTGTAGAAAGATTTGCATGTGAAATTCTACAAAATTGCCAGACTACTTTGCAAAGTATTTTTTTTTGCCTTGGCAACAAACCCCATCTGTACAGAGTTTGTGCTTGGATTCAGTTCTCCTTAAAGACCGTGAACCTGACGCCTGTTTCTTTTACATAAGTAGGAGAGTGAGGAGGAGGGGAGTCCAGGTTTTTATTTTTAGAGGCAGGAGTAACTCAACGTCTCAGCAGCGCTGCCTGCTTCCTCTACGTAGTGACGCGGAGCTTTCTACAACAGAGCAGAGACAGAAGCCCAAGGAAACAAGGGGGAGGGGGGAATCTGGGCGATGCTGTGTCTGCAGAAAAGTGACGCCGTAAAATTATGATGAGCATGCGTTCTGAGGAGGGAAAATGAACTGCAGCCTCGCGCAGGTTTTCTGAGTCGGTGGCATCTGCCCTGCAGTCAGCAGGTGCCCCAGTGCTTCCTCTGCAGCTGCCCACGCTTGTCTGAGGTCTGGTCCAAGTGCTGGGCTCTGCTTGCTCATAAATAAATGACCCTGCTACTGCTAGAAAGACAAACAGGTTCATCGAAGAGAGAGTGAGATCAGTCTGCTCCTTGGAGGCAAGGATTCTGAAGCTTTGTCTGACATACTTTGGACATGCTGCAAGGCAGGACCGGTCCTTGGAGAGGGACACCATGCTTGGGAGAGTGGGGGGACTGCGCAGCAGAGGAAGACTCTTGATGAGATGGATTGATTCAGTGACTAGAGTAATGGGGTTGGTGTGTCAGAGACAGTGCGATTGGCACAGGATGGAGCAGGGTTTAGTGCTGTTTTACATAGGGTCGTTATGAGTTGCAGGTGACTTGACGGCATATAACAACAGCAAAAACTGCTCGTGGTCCCTGGCTGCCTTATCAGACTGCGAGTGCTCAGAGCTCAGGAACTGCGAGTATTTTTTGTATTCTTCACCTTGTGCTCACTCTTTTTTCTCCCTCCGCCACACTGCAACCCTCTCTTCCAAAAGCGCCCTTTCTGCCCACCTAAGCAAACACTACACTCATATAACTTTACACTTCCACTGGGCGGCAGTCTGTTCCCCAAAACTTGTCTTTGTGTGCAGGCCTTTATCCCTTCACCTCATACTACGGCCATCTGCTCCGGAGCCTCTAGGGTTACCTGGAGGATCTTGCTCTGAGCAGTTCATGCCACAGGGTAGGTAAAGTAGGCGCATTAGAAGTACGAGTTAATGTGCAATACAGAAAATGACGTGCCACCTTCAAAACAAACAAACAAAAAAAAATCACACTCCCTAGAAAGATGGAACTCATAAAAGAAATAAATTAGGGGCGATTATTTAACTTTACATCAAGGTTCCAGCTAATTCTCCCACTGTCAGAAGATTTCTCAGGTGTGATGACTTCACCCTCAGCATCAGAATAGCTGGAACTGAACTGGTTAAAAACAAGACTTCTTGGCCTTTGTGAAGTTTCAGGGAATTTGAATCTCCACGTACAAGTCTCTTTGCTCCCAAAGAGATTCTTATCGGAGCTGAACTTTGACAATCAGTTTACAAAATTCAGCTGACATGCAGCTGCCGGGGGAATACATTTGCTTTGTGAGGTGGCCTGTTGGTAAGAAGTGTTGCCCATTTCCTATCCCACTGCTAGTTTTAAAATAACAACAGTTATGCTGCAGGTAACATTTATGTAGAGGAGGTGATATTTCTGAATTAAAAATTTTAAAAAACCCAAAACAAAAAACTCATCAGCTGCTTCTGAAACAACCTTTCCTGAAGCTCTGGCCTACGGCCTACTCTTCTGGGGTCAAATATGAGACGGTCTGAACCAAGACCTAGAAGTCTGTGAAGGGCAGGGCCTTACCCAAGCAGGACTGTGTGGGGAGCCGCCTCGGGGAAGCAGCAGCTTGACGATATCCAGGTTGTTGTGATGAACAGCCACGTGCAGAGGAGTCAAGCCCGTCTACAGAGGGATTAAATGGAGAAGAAAACAGCCTTCACTCCAGTGCACGTTCTTTCAGGATCCCTTTGGCTTTGTTGTTTGCAAGGATTCCCCATGCACCGTGGGACCAGACCATTATGATTCATCGAGTTTTCATGGGTGGGCGGAAGAGCTTGAGCAGGCCTTTCTTCCTAGCCTGACTTAGTCTAGATGCTCTACTGAAACCTGCTCAGCATCCTAGCAACACCCAAGCCCCCCACTGACACTGGGAGAGGCTGCACTGGACTGAGGTCAATCTGGCTCGACTGCTGTTGTGAGGTGCCATGGTCAGCGCTGACTCACTGCGACCCCATGAACCACAGAACAAAATCTGCCTGATCCTGCAGCATTCTCAGCTTTTAGTTCCATCTGCCAAACACAAACCCACTGCTGCAGTCACTGTGTCAACCTATTTCATTGTGAGCCTTTCTCTCTTTTGTTGGCTCCTTTACTTTTCCAAGTATATCTTTCTCCAAGAGACTGACTCTTCCCATATGAAAAATGAAAATTCCACCATGGAACCACCAATATCTCCCTATACAAGAAATATAAACATAGTTCTAGAACCAAGCATGGCACAGAGACACTAAAATACATAACCAGCTAGACTGGGACAACCTCATCATTCTTGTGGGGATGAGCTGGCCTGGGAGGCAAGGAAATCAAAACACTCTCAAATTACCCAGTGTCGGATTACTCAAAAGGCCAAGTAAGCATGGGATTGTTTGTGTCACTACCCATGTTTTCACTACATCAAAGATTCTGCTTCTAGGTATGGCTGGCATCTGTCTCCCTTCCAATTCCACATCCCTGATCATTCAGTAAGTAAGCACTAATAAGCGTGTGCTTACCTTGCTTTAGATAACCTACTCCTGCACTCAGGGCAGGCTACCAATTCTTCCTGAAATGGCAAAGACTTTGAGAGAAAGAGCAGTTTTCCCTAGAGGGCTGTCCCAACACAGGCTTATTATGTAAGAGATACAACTCACAACTAATAAAGTGTAATTTTTGCTTTTCCCCTTCACCTAGAGAATTAAAGGGGGTTAGAACTCACTTTTCCAGCTGCGTTGGGGTGTGCATCTCGTTCCAGCAGCACCTCTGCTACCTTGACCTTCCCATACTTAGCCGCCAAATGGAGAGGGGTAAATCCTTTCTGAGGAGAAACACAGGCCATCAGGACTAAAGGGAGCCATAGCGGACCTCCTCAGAGAAGGGGCCCATGACAAAGGGGGCTTACAATCTTCACTGGCACAGAGACGCCAATAAAATAAAGGACAAAGCCATTTTGGATCCATCCAAGAGACCAAGACCTTGGGAATCAGCAGCTTCCATTTGTACTTCTGTGATACTGGACAAGCCACTAGGCATTGACATTTGAATGCTGGCCACTGTTGGGCAGCGGCTGAATCCAATACCTATGAAGGTTTTGTCAAGAGTGCATGCTCAGGGAACAGTTACATCTCTGTGATAAACACCAGATGGCCAGGTAGGTGTGTGAGAAACTGTGGTTCCCCACTTTTCCTGGGGAAGGTTGACAGCATATCAGGCCCGCAGATGGCAGCCAGTCCTGTAGAGGCCACCTTCCCCAACTGCTGGCAATCATTGCCATCAAGGTAACAAGAAGATCAGACAGGTACTCCTCCCCTCCCCACACCACACCACACCACACCACACCACACCACACCACACCACACCACACCACACCACACTACGCCTCTGCTATAGCCAGCCTTGCTTTCCTGAGAGGAAAGGAGCAAGAGGAAGAGGAGGCGGAGGAAGGCTGTACCTTGGTCATGCAGGCCTGGGACGCTTCCTTTTCCAGAAGTGCCAAGGCTGTTTCCACATGGCCCTCGCGGGCTGCCGTGTGCAGGGGGGTGTGCCCGGCAGTGGTGGCCAGGTTAGGGTTGGCATTGTTTTCCAGCAGGAGTTTCACCATGTTTGTGTGGCCGATGCGAGCTGCACAGTGAAGTGGGGTCTGGTCATCCTGGACCCCAAAGTGAAAATAAAGAATGAGAATGTTGAGCTTCTGCAACCCATTTTACAGAGAAGAAAGCTGAGGGCCAGGGAAGTGAAGAGACTCTCATGATGTTACATGGGTAGATGAAAACCTGGGATTCAACCCAGGTTTCTAACTTACAGAAATAAGTATCCTCTATTCGATTAAATGGGCTATTTCCAGGCTGGGAAGATAAGTGGAATGGCTGGATTTTGCTAAGGTGTGTTTTCTGGTTTGGGGTTGAGGCTAGAGTGTGGCTTTTGTTCACAAAGGGCATGAGCTGCTTGGATTTGGCCTTGTATTTAAAAAGGCTTTGGGGCCCTCAGGCCTGTGGCCCTCGGACCTGCTTTTTGTGGAGCTCCCTAATAAAACAGGCTTGGAAGCAGGAGTGGCATGCACTTCCAAAATAAGCTTGCCTCCAGAATCTTTATGATTCAGTTTTGTCTTCAAGACTTTTGTTCATAGGGTCGCTGTGGGTTGTCTATGACTCTTAACAACAACAATAGCAATTCCATTCAATCCTTCAAATTTGTTGTTATTCCAATTTTGCTCCTCAATGGCCCACAGAGCTCTGATGATGCAATGGTTAAGTGCTTGGATGATAAACACTTAGCACTCAGCTAAACACTTTGGCTGCTAACGCAAGAGGTCAACAATTTGAACTCATGAGTAACTACATGGGGAAAAAATGAGGCGGTGATCTGACTGCATAAAGATTACAGCCTAGAAAACCTCATGGGGCAGCTCTTCTGTGTCTCATAAAGTCACTGTGAACTAGAACTGACTCAATTCAATGGCACACAAGAATAACTCAAAGGCTCAGCTCTCCCATCTGTAAAATGGGAGTAATAATATCTCCTTCATAGGCTGTGGTTCAGATAAGGCAGGTCACGTACAGACATTGTTTTGGATAATATCTGGTGCATAATAAGCCATGTGTACCAGAGTAGTATTCAAGGCTGTGGCTTTTCAGAAGCAGAGTACTAGGCCTTTCGTCTGCATCACCTCTGGGTGGACTCAAACCTACAAGCTTCTGATTAGCAGCTATTAATCATTTGTTCCCTCCCGTTCCTAAAAAAATGTTTGTAGTCAGTAAATTGTGGTTGCTGTTACTGTCTTCTGCATAGTGCCTGGGTGGACACTCATCTCTGAGCTCCACTTTCTTTGTCTCTATGCCGAGGTGGGGTTGGGTGGGATTTCGGAAGGCTTTGTTGGAGGGGAAGGTGACCTTGTGCCCTCCCTCTACCCTACTTCCTTCTTATGCCTGAAGGCGAAAAGTATTAAATCACTTTTGCCATTGGGCCTGGAAAGCATTCCTTATGTGGCCCAAACACCAATCCCTGATTAAATTCTCAACAGAGCGTTTTAAACTTTTCAACTCTAAACAGTTGTCTGTTAGGCTAGGAAAGCCTGGTTTTGGCTATATTCATTCAACTTGCAAATTCAGAAGTTTTCTCTTTACTTTCCCAGTTCTTGAAAAAGACTGTGTTACCATAAGAGAGGATCATCTATTTCTAGGTCAAGTAATGCCTTACTTATTGTAAACATTGCTCCAAAAAGCTGTTACTTTTCTTATCCCATGTAGGCTATCATCATGAAACCCTTTAAATCCAATAAACACTGCAGGCCAGACAGCTGTGTTCTTTTGACTTGAAGTTTTCATTATCCTAAAAAAAATGAATAGCTCTCTAACATGGAAATATTTCCTACCGAATCAGAGACTTTACAGCGATCTAAATGAGAATGACAAGTAATCTTTTTGCTACAAGCTCTGCAGCCGGGCCTCTAATTAGGATGGATTTCTTCCCATTGCACTGGAATTGCTCACACGCCAGGAGCCCTCCCTGTCCACCTCCAAAACTCACCTTGGCCTTGGCATTGACTTTGGCTTTGTTCTGGAGTAAATATTTGGCCACTTCTGTGTGTCCTGCTCTGGCTGCCATATGTAAGGGGGTCTCCACTTTCTGTAAAATAACAAAATTATTGAAGTACTAATACATGCTGGATTTCCGAAAGCACACACACACACAGAGCCTAAAGAGCCAGCTCTGAGCATCTTGGTAGGGTTTCATCTAAGAGGTGGAGTTACCCCAGCAAGCAGCCGGCGGTGGGGGGTGGGGGGTGTTCTCGGCACACAGAAAAGTGAACGTCAGAGCTAATGAATGTTAAACAGTGTAAATATATTCCCAGATAACACTTACAGAAGTTTCCAAATTATGGTCTGAAATAAAAGCCCAAGGTTTACAGATGTGTGAAAAGCTTAACTGGGAAATCATCTGTACCTGGGGATGCTCCCCTCTTGTCTGAAGCTAAGTCTGAGAATTCTGCCTCCATCCCAGGAGAGGAGAGATCAGGAGCTCAGGGGAAAGGGCCTGGCTCTCCTCATAACTCACCACGTTGGAGACATTGGGGGACGCACCCCGCTGCAGCAGGTTCTTCACGATGGGAAGGTGCCCCATGAAAGAAGCCACGTGGAGAGGGGTCAGGCCAGACTGGAACACACAAGAGAGGGCTGAGAAAGGAGTTCTCTGCTCCACCAAAGAAGAGAGAGGAAGGCCGGGCCAAATGCTGTCTTGTCTCCAGGGACTCCCCAAATGGTTCCATAAGAAAAGGAGGTAAATTGAAGTAGGTTTGCTTCTTAGAAAATCAGCTGGGGGAAGAATCACTGCAGGGCAAGATCTGCCCACCTGGACAACTTGAAAAACCTCAGCTGATCTTGGAAAATTCCTTGAGACATGACACACATTCCCTTGTCCTAGTTCCCCCTGATTTATTCCTTGGAGCAATTTACATTTCAATTTTTGTCTCACAGTTGCACAATATGCAACAGTGCACCCACGATCTGACAAACCCCTCTCAGAGAAGGGAACCGCGCATGCTACCCGGACAGGAGCTCAGGGCGGGCACTGCGCATGCCTCGGCATTGTCTCCTACCTCGGTGACGGCGTCAATAGAGGCTCCGGTCTTCAGCAGCAGCTCCATGACACGAATATGGTTCTTCTTGCAGGCGATGTGTAAGGGGGTGAAGCCATTCTGCAGCCCCACACAGAGAGAAACAAGGGGGAGAACTTACACACCAGCCAAGAGACACGCAGAACAGCACCATGCTCTCCGGCAAGGTGGCCTCTGCCACCACCACTTAGATTTGCAGAGAACAAATGCCATTGAGACAAATCGCATAGAAGATAGCACCATTCACTTAAGACATCAAACATGTTCCTGAGCATGTTCCTTATAAGCTTTAAAAAAACACCTTAATGCCCCAAAGAGCTTACTGTGTAAAGTTACCTGCCAGGACATTTACGGTAGAGAAGGCTTCTGTGTAGCAGCTCATCCTCTCACTTCCCCGAAACCACTGATAATTTTAGTAAAAATGGATTTCTGTATATCAGCTCTGCTTTAGAGTGCTGTATTAGAATGTAAAGCCCATGAGGGCAGGGGTTTTGTTCATTTGTTCGTAATGGCTTTATCTCTCTGGTACAGTGGGTTACTGGGTTTTTTTAACCCTTTGGGAGAATTTGGCAATGTCTAGAGACATTTTGCTTGTCACAGCCTGAGGGCAAGAGTAGGGTTTAGTTACTGTTGGCTTGTTCTGTGACAAAGCAAGGCTTGCACAGGGCAGCCCCTTACAGTAAAGAGTTGTCAGGTCCAAATGTCAGTGATGGGCGTTTGAGAGGCCCAGCAATAGCACAGAACCTGACAGCTGGCAAATTCTCAATGGAAGAGTTTTTGAGTGAGTGAATAAGCCATTCTCCACTATCCCTGGCTGTCTCTCAGTTGTCCGGTGGGAATGGTCAGTGGGCAGCATGCTTAGTGCAGAGCTCCAGCCCCACCACAGCCCAGAGGACCCTGGGAGCCCCTGGCTGAGGGAGGTGGGAGTAGAACCATTGTTGCAGCACAGAATTTGCATTAAATCTAAATGCATGTCTCTGCAAATGCTATTTGAAGAGAAAGCATGTTGGGTTCAGGCTACTTAAATTACTCTTAAAGCAGGCAAGAGCCAAATTATCCCTCTCATAAATTCCTGCCCTGAGCTCCTGGCCTGTTTAAGAATGGACAGGCAGCTCCACCCCACCAACATAAGCATGGACATTGCCTCTGGAACCAGGTCTTCTGGGTCCAAATCTCTTTGACTTCAATTTGTTAAATGGAGGCCACGGTCACTGAACACAAGAAGTGATACACAGCTTGAGGTGCGGTAATCTATAGTAAAGGATGAGTCAAGGCCAAGCGAAGGTGCCTTAGTCTACCATCTGAGCCTACGTGGACTCTCACGCCCCTGAGTCTTCAAAGCAGTTCCAGGTGCAAGCTGTTGCCTTTCCCTTGAGGCTCTGCCATCCAGCCCTGCTCCTGTCCCCTCTGCCCGTGTCCATCCATCCTTCCTCCAATAGCCCCCCACTCACCAGGGCTCTGGAGTTTGGTTTGGCCCCTTTATCCAAAAGGACCTTGGCCACTCTGTGATGACCACAGTGGGCGGCCACGTGGAGTGGAGTCAGGTGGTCCAGCGTGATGTCATCTATTTCTGCGTTGTATTGCAATAGAAGTCGGACACAGTCGAGATGGTCTCCCTGAGCCGCCATGTGAATTGGGGACAAGCCATTCTAGGTGGGGAAGGGAGAACAAGCAATCACAAAGGTGTCTCGAGGCAGAAGAGGAAAATCCAGGATGGTGATTCCAGCCTCACTTCCTACTTCTTGCCTGCACGATGCCTCCACACAGCTCCTGAGTGAGCTAGGCTCATTGGGAGCTCTGCATTCTTGCTGGTTGACTACTTTCTATCTAGCCAAATCCCCCAAAGTCAGCTGCAGCATGAAAACTTCCCAGACCGCACCAGTCTCCTAAGGCTTTTGGTGTTGTACCACTACTTTGTGTTCAGGCATTTGCCTAAGTGTATTCACAGTTACCTTTTCAGGCGTGTGTATCTCCTGTCATTACTTACAAGCTTCCTAAGATCAGTGGCTGTACCCAATATATCTTACATGTCCCACAGTGTCTAGTAACACACACACCCCAAATGAAAAAAGCCACCCCACTGACATCAAGTCTATTCCAACTCCGAGCAACCCAATAGGACCACATGGAATTCCCTGATACGGTTCCCAAGGCTGCAAATCTTTATGCCAGGAGACTGCCCGTCTTTCTTCTGAGGAGTGACTGGTGGATTCAAACTTCTGACCTTCCTCTTAGTAGCCCAACACAGGTGCAAAATGCACTACACCATGAGAGCTCTTTTAATGCTCACAATGGTCCTTTATTAAAGGGACTTTGGAAGGATGAATGACAAGGACGTAAAATGTGGATCTAAATCCCTCTGTTCATTGATACCAACAAAAGCCTATGATTAAAAAATTTCTAGGATCTCTGGTGGCCTAGTGGCAAGGAGCTGCACTGCAATACTGAGGGTGTATGGTTCGAATACACCAGATGCTCCACTGGACAAGGATGGGCAGTTTCCTCCTGTGTCAATTGGATCTGGTTCGATGGCACACAGCAACAACAACAATATAAAATAAAGTTTCACTAAAAAATGTGTAAAAAACTTTCTATAAAGACTTTTACTGTTTCTCCAACTGTAGTTTGTTAAGGGGGAGGGGAAATAAAGACAAAGGAGAACGAGTCACTCATTCATTCAAATATCAATTAAACAAATATTTAATAAGTGTTTAATGAGCATCAGGTATGGATTAAGCTTTGAGGAGAGGTAATTGTTTGTGGAGAGAATAAGATAACCTCCAGCTTAAAAAAAAATCTAGCTTGGTTGTTAAGGGGCAGAGACCTGAGTGAGGCAAATAGTTAATAAGCTTGCTGTTAACTGAAAGGTTGTAGGCTTGAGTTCTCCCTGAGGGTGTCATGAAGGAAAAGCTTGTTGATTTACATCAGAAAACTCAGCCATTGGAAACTCTAGGGAGCACAGTTTTATCACATGGGCCATCATGAGCTGGAATTAGCTTAATAGTAACTGATTACGTAATAGGTGTGAAAACAGATAACTTATTGGCATCAGTGTGATAATGTGAGGTTTTCTGGGGTATTAAATCATACGGGAGATTCCCCATCTTTCTCCCGTGGAGCAGCTGGTGGAGTCAAACCACGTACTTCTAGGTTGGCAGCATAACTCCTTGTCACAAGGCCACCAGAGCTCCCTAATCAAAGCACATGTGCAAATGAGGACAGAGTCACTGATAAGCAAAGACCATGGGAAGGGACTTCCTGGAAGAGGTGTATTCTGTGTTAGGTTTTGACTAGTATGGAATGGGAGTTCATCAGGCAGACAAAAGCAAAGAATAATCCAGTGAAGGGAACAGTTTGCCACAAGGCCACAGAGGTAGCAATCCTAGGAGGACTCAAGGGTCCGTATGGGTCTTAAGAAGGTAAGGTGTGATAGGGAGCCTGGAGCTGGGGCTGAACAGGTAGGTAGCAGCTTCATCATGAAAGCTATATGAGCTAAGGAACTCAGACTTCAGATTTCAGAGAGTGAACACGGAGAGAAATATTCTCAGCAAGGAAGACACACAATCAGACTGGATGGCTGCTAATAGCAGTTACCACTAATTGCATTCTAGAGAGGTCACACACCATATTCCCCAATTCTTTGAAAAGCTGGAAGTTTTCAATAAAACACATCTTTTTAAGCCACATTTTAATAATTTGGATAATCCAAATAATTTAATAACTTAGGGACATTTATGTAAGTTTAAATACAGGGCTTCTGTGGAAAGAATTTGAGAATTGCTAATTGAGGGTACTGTGGTGGCCAAGTAGGTTAAGGAGTTAAGCTGTCAACCCAAAGTCAGGCAGTTCAAATCCACCAGCTGCCCAATGGGATGAAGATGGGCAGTCTCCTCCTGTGCAATTTAGAGCCTCCAAAAACTCACTGGAGGATCAGCTATGAGTCAGTTCTGACTCAATGCACATAACAGCAACATTATTATAACTGGTGATAAGAGTTCTTCTGTCTTCACCTATGCAAGGACTTTTTACTTATATGTACTGCTAAAGACGTTATTTCACTTGATCACCCCAACAGTTCCAGAAAACAGGTGTAGAGCTTTCTAGATCAGGAAACTGGTACAGATAGAATAAGAGATAAGCTCAGAGTTACAAAGCAAATAAGCAGCGGATGGGAAGATAAATGCAAAATGAAAGCGTTAGTGGAGGATACAGTTCTACTGTGCATATATGGAGTCAGAAAGAACTAAGAACTACAAACCAGCACCCAATACACGCATGCATACAAAGGGCCAGCCTGGATAATGTGAAATGTGCCTCAGATGAAAAATAACTTGAGTACTCAGATGATACTTTGTTGGGAAATACATTTGATTGTCGTGCAATTATGTGACAGAGAACTGCTCACAGACAATCACTTCATTGGTCATGAATGGGCTTGGTTTCTGCTGTGCTACTTGGCAAGTCTTCTAAATTCAAAGAAGGGTACAGTGGCCCTGGAGAAGGTACAGGTGGTGTTGTGTAGTCTGCGTTAGCCCAGGAAGATGTCACATTAGAACCAAAAGATGAGAAGTATTTTTTCCACTTTGTTTTGATTTATTTCACTTGTCTAGCCCATACTCCTAACACTTCTCAGAGTGTTTGGTTTCTCTTACAACCTGAATAGCTCTGGGGATCTGCCTTTTCTGGAGCCAGGATGAAAAAGATAGGGATTGACCTAGATGGATGGTTGGCAAGCTACAGGCCCCACAACAATCTGGCCTGTTACCTGTGTTTGTAAATAAAGTTTTATTGGAACACAGCCATTAGTTTACATATTGTTTATGGCTGCATTCATCTTACATTGGCAGAATTGAATGTGGAAACAAATGTCGTTGCCTACAAAGATTAAAATATTTAATAGCTGACCCTTCAGGGAAAAGGCATGATCTAGATAATAATTAGAATTCTACAAAGCATACTCCAGTGTGACAGCATTGTGGTTACTGTTACTCACACTATTCCATTAAGTAGCATTATCATCTGCATTCTACAGAAATGGGATTTGATCCCAGCACTGCCTGACTTGGAACCTGGCCTCAAAGCCGTCCCTTCCAGGACGGAGGCACACACCTTGGTTTTGGCTTGGATGGGCGCCCCGTGGTCCAGCAGGATCTCTGAGATTCGCACATGCCCATTCCGAGCTGCACAGTGGAGAGGTGTCAATTCGTCCTTTAAAAGACAGAGTCAGAAACAGAAAGCCCAAGAGGCACTTATGAGAGGCTGTGTGGAGGGAAGCCTGCCTGCAGCACCCTCCCCAGCCCACTGGAAACAGCTAGTCCTTCAGAACCAGCACCCTTAGGCAGTCTATTCTGCTCTCCTATGGCAAGTGCTGCAGGCTGCAGAAGACGCTGGTGGCACTTCCCTAATTAGGTCACCAAGAGGCCCCACTCCACACCGTGTGAGCCTCTTGAAGGCAGCACTCCCCGTCTCCTGGCCTTCCCACTGAGCTCGCTGGCACCTACCTTGGTCCTTGTTTCTATCTGGGCTCCCCGGTCCAGCAGGAGCCGCACCATGATCACGTTGCCCCTGCGGGAAGCTATGTGCAGCGGTGTAATGCCATTCTGCGGGGAAATGCAGAGAGCAGTCAGGAGCCTACATCTTTTGCTTTGAATGCAGCTGTGGTACACCCAGTCCTCATGCCTCTTCCTGTCCCCAGCCCTGCAAAGAAGCCACTCCACACCTATGGTTAGGACCTTCCTCACCTAAGAAATAGTCCACTGGTTCATCACATAAAGCTGGCTAAGTCTCCCAGAGATTGAGTTGACTGGACAAAGACCCCAAACCAAAATCAGACAGATTCTAACTCAGCAACCTTCAGGGCAGAGCAAAATTGTCCTACAGGATTCCTGAAGCTTATATGAGACTCCTGTGAGAACAGACAGCCATGTCTCTCACATAGAACAGTTGACGAGTTCAAGGCAACAGCTTTTTTGCTAGCCACCCGACTCTTAATCTATTTGAAAATCAACCCCCTCTCCAAGTTTTCCTCTTCACAACAGTAAAATAGGAAAAAACCTGATGGGCAGAAATCTGTCCATGACCATTTTGCCCATAGGTGTTTTCTTAGCACTGGTAAAATGTAAAGTGAGAATTAGGGACTGCTAGGCTGTAGATGCCACTTCTTCCCCACAGCGTGTAGGACAAGCTTCCAGAAAGCATTACCTGTGGTGTGAAGTTGACCCGGGCTCCCCGGTTGAGGAGTAACTGGGCCACATTGAGGTTCTCATAGTGAGCTGCGATGTGGAGGGGGGTAAATCCCGTCTGGGGGAAAAAGAGAGTAAGGAAAACACTTGTCATATGTCATTTTCGGTTGTTTCTCTCACAGAATCATCCCACAGAATAGGAACAAATTAGTAGGAACAAGAGACTCTAAACATAAAGCAGATTTTGACCGATGGGAATATTCATTGAAGGGATTAGGGACTAGAATGATTTTGTGATAAATTGTATTCAAATGCTAGATACCGCCTCTTAGGGACTCCCACCCCCCAGTAATCTGCCTCAGGGTTTATATAGAAAAATCACAAGCTAGGATGACTTCAAATCCTGTAGGGCCCATTTACCTGAACAAAGAGATTTTAATTATTTATTGAAAAGTGTTCTGTGGCCCATGATCTTAATTCTAGAGATTGTTTCAACCCCTCAAGGGTCTGGTGACTCGGCTGGCCTGCCGAAGGGAGAACTCTGACTCTTGTTGGGTCCATTTTCCTCATTGTTCCGTAACTTCAAACCAAACCTAGTCCAGTTAGCCATTTTCCAGAGAAACCAAGAGACCATGGGTGGAGGAGTAGAGGGAACCATGTGACAAACTCCTTGCAAATCCTTTGTGATTAAAATGTATGTAATTAATCATCCAAGCTTACAGTTAACAATTCCAGTGTCTCAGAACATCAGACCAAGTGTTCAGACAATTGACTGTCCCAGCCCTTGGATGTTTGGAGGAACCTCTTTTGCCAGAAGCCAGCACCTGCATACTCTTATTTCCATCTCCTGCCACCAGGGGGCGGCCAGGTGAAGGCAGCTGGGAGGAAATGGGGGGTGGGGGGCAGGAGGAGAGGAGGCTCCTTTTGGGGCTCCATCCAGACCACAACCCATCTTGCCCTCCCTGGACACTTAGATGGATAAGAAACTTCCCTGCTTCTTGCCATGAAAACTACCTCCAGAGTTTACCAAGGACATAAAGTGGGTCCGCCCTGTGGGGTTCTTCTAAATGCATGCTATGCTCAGTTTCATAGGACAATCTACGATTTGGGCTATGACCTCCTCCAGCTTTTTACACTGTCCCCAGAAATGGTCGGGACTGGGTGGTGCTCTTGAACCCCTGTGTGTCTGTGGACCAGGCCGTGGAGTTCTCGCGTCCTCCGCCCAGCTCTCACCTTGGACAGCACGTCCGGGTTGGGGTCGTTCTGCAGCAGCACCGCAGCCGTCCGAGTGTCATCGTTGCGGGCTGCAATGTGCAGGGCGGGGAGGCGCACCTTGCCCTTCGTCCCGTAGTTGATGAGGTGTGCCACCACGTTCTCGTGGCCCTGCTGCAGAGCCACGGCCAGGGGAGTGAAGCCGTCCTGGCCAGAGGAGAGGAAAGACACATTTGCTCTGACTATATCTGACCACTCACTGTCCTCAAAGCAGGACACACACTTTCACACCTCAGGGATCGAGCTCCCCACAGGACCTCAGCCTGATATGACATTCCTCCAGCTCTCTGCTGTTCACATTCCTCTTCATCCCTCAAGCTCGGCTTAAATGCCACCTCCTCCCTGAAGCCTTGCTTGACCCCATTCTTTTACAGAGCCATACTGCAACTAGCCATCCTACAAGGCTTCCTGTCATTTGTCTTTAGTCCTACTTAGCTTTTCAATTGTTCATAAACTATGTAACTACATATTACCCTTTATAATGATTCCCAGTCCAGCCAAATACTTTGAGAAATTTTTCTGCTTCTTTGCCTGCGCTCCTTCTTACCCCGTCTGCTGGTGCCAAGGTAGTACCTTCAATAGGCAAATCATCATGCATTTATTCATCTTTACAAACATTGGACATTTACTGGACATCAGAAACCATGTTAGGCTTGGAGAATTCTATCATAAGCTGGTGTGATCAATCTACTCAGTTGTTTACAGAACCCCAGGAACTTATGAAGCAGAATAAGAATAATGTTATCATTGAGTCATACCATATTAAGAGTCAGGAGAAGTCCTAGCCATGATCTAATCCAAATTGCATTTTTTAACAAATGGTGAGACTCAAAATTAGAGGTGAAAGTTGCTTGTCCAGTATTATAGGGTGGGTTCATGGCAAGGGGACCAAGACAGACTTGTCCTCACATACATACACAAACACACAATCCTGTAGAATCTTAAGTGTTGCTTATGATGGGAATGGCACAGTAGACCCTGATGTCGCTTCTTGGACATGTGTCTGGGCATTCCTCAAGACACATGACTGTCTCGGGCTCCTTTGCAAAGCCTCATAGCATGCAGAAATAGTGCAGTAACCTGAGGTAGAGAACACCCCGCAATGGTCTACACTGACCACAGGATGAGGCTCCAGCCATCTCCCCAGAAGCTATCACTCAACAGTAATGCCGTCCACCTGGAAGACTTCTGGTGGCAAAGCCTCTTCCAATGTACTTACTTCTGTGGCTACATTCTGATTAGCTCCATTCTCCAGTAAAAACTTAACCACTTCCAAATGATTCTCTTGTGCTGCCATGTACAAGGGTGTAAAGCCTTTCTGTAAAGCACAAAGGAAAAGTCATTAAAACCCATCAGCAATAGTGAAAGATGCTAAAACTGGCACAGACTTCCTAAACTTGAGGACAACTCTCGCTTCATCTTCTTGTCACCTAGTCTTAGGCACAACATCCTCACCGACGTGTCCAGTTGTGAAAACTCATTGTCATTTTGAAGTGGCTTACTAGGTTTATTGCAAAAGGCCACAAGGTGGAGATGAGACTCCATGGAAGCTTGTGTTTCTGTCCCTCAAGCCTCTTTCTCATTCTCCTCCATTTTTATCCCTCCTTTCTCTTCTTCATCACCACTCACTCCCTTGCCACACATCACAGAGTTTCTCTCTGTTGATGAGCCTTCATTAAGTGTCTATTTGGCTGGTCTACTGAATGAGATGGGGCTCACAATAACTTGACCCCAGGATGCTTAATAGAGTGGAGAGTCTAAGCATGAAGAAATAAGAAAGTTGCTTCCTCACCACCTGGAGTCAACAGATCAAATGGTTAATGTGTTTGGCTCTGGACCAAAAGACTAGATGCTCAAGGCCATCTAGAGATGCTCTGGGGGGAAAAAAGATGATCTACTTCCCCCAAAATTACCCACTGAAAATCCTACAATACAGTTCTATTATAACACATATGGGATCACCATGAGTTGGAATCAACTCAACAGCAACTGGTGTGGGCGTCATCATTGCTTAGAAACATGCTGTTAATTAATCAAGACTCTACCACAGTATTTGTGTGCAAATGCCAAAGTCAACATGTCTACTATGATAGTGAGAAACAGAGTGAAAATGAAGAGGGATGGCGGTGTCCTCCAGTCGAGGAGCCAGAGGAACTATTACCTGGGACTGGGCATTGACATTGGCGCCATAGTTGACCAGCTCTCGTACCACCTCATCCTGACCAGCAAGGGCAGCGATGTGCAAGGCCGTGTTCCCTTTCTGAAACATATCAGAGGGGAGGGAGCAGAAGAAGGTTCCTTTGGATCTGCATCATAAGAAATTGTCAAAGAACCTGTGGTGCTGGCAATAAGAGATGCAAATCAAAACCACAATGAGATACCTCCTCACTCCAGAGGCAAAGTTTAACAGGACAGCATGTAATAAATGTTGGAGTGGATGTGGCGAGACAGGAACTCTTTTACGTTGTTGGTGGGATGTACAATGGTACAGCCACTCTGGAAGGCTGTCAGGTGCTTCCTCAAAAAGCTGAACATCGACATTCTATATCGCCCAGCTCTTCCATTGCTTGGAATATACCCCAAGAAAATGAGAACTGAGGCTAAAATGGAGATTTTTACACACCAATGTTCATAGCAGCATTATTCACCTTCGCAAGAACATGGAAACAGCCCAGATGTCCAACCACAAACAAGTGGATTGAGAAGTTGTGGTACATTCATACAATGATTTTGTAAATTATTACCTAACTTGGGAGGGACAGAAAGCCTTATACTGAGTGAACTAACTAAGTCCCACATGACAAATAATGTGTAAAACCATTATTGTAGAATAAGTATGAGGATCCAGGGTTGGGGGGGAGGGTGGAAATAGAGGGGTGAGGATGGGGGATTAGCGTGTTAATCATAGGGTTGTACAATTTGATGGGTCGGTGAGGTCAAGGAAATGGGAAGGATCTTTTGTGAAAAACAATGTATTCAAATTTTGTAAATAAATCAGAGTAAAATAAAAAAAATTAAAAAAGAACCTGTGATGGACAGTGTTTAGTAGAAACTGGGGGCAGGAGAGGAGGAAACGTAAGATAATAGACTTTCTTTATAGATAGAAGCACATATGTGTGTTCCTGATCTTTCAGAGATCTTGAAATAGTCCTAAAAGTGAGAAGAGGGAAAATTTTTCCTTGCGCGCGCGCGCACACACACACACACACACACACACACACACACACACTGAAAGAAGAAAAATATCTCAACATCTACTGTGCTGTGTGCAGGCACAACATCCTGTCACTGGCCTGGCATGTGGCCAGCACTCCTCAGGACACACAGTGTATTTACCAGGCAAGATCTAGTCTTCCTTAGACTTCTGGCTCTTTGCAACCTGTAAGTTTGCAGAGTAAATACAGTGCTGTTGGTGAAGCCAGAGGCCTCGGTGGTCCTGATGCTGTTCTGAGTAACACATGTGGACCAAAAAGAGGCCTAAAAGAGGCAGAGAAAATGACAGGAGAATGGAGGGGAAAGGTTTTGCATAATAAGGAGTTCATTAGACGTTGTAATAAATTAAGCACATTAATGAACAGAAATTAATGTATGATTTGTAAATTTCCACTAATTTTTTTTTTAAGAAAAGGAAAAGGGAAGAGAATGAAGAAAGTAGTAAATAGAAAGGGAACAGGTAGAAGTATGTACAGAAGGTGGGGGTTGTTAATAAAAAGAACTATATAATGCTTGTAGGGAAGAATGAACACTTCACTGGAGCAGATGAGGGGAAGGACTGCCTGAAAGGAATGTATGATTAAGCATTATAACGATGATAACAACCTGGAACAAGTAGTACATTGGACTGGGAAGGGGGATAGGAGGGGAGGGAGGAAAATGTGCAATGAATGAATGAAAACCCAACCTTTCTGTAAACTTTCATTAAAATCACAATAAAACAATTTACAAAAAGATGATAAGTGAGAAAAATAAAGAGAAAAGAAGAAAAAATGAGTATACAATGGAATAAGAAGTAGCAAAGAAAAACAAATATGTCAATAAGCAAAGTAGGTGAAGAAGATGTCACTAAATAAGAGAGAAAAGTCAGGGAACATAAACACTAGAACGAAACAAGACCTGTGACTGAGAAGCTTAAACTAAACTTCTGAAGAAATAAAAAGCAATACAAGGGAGCTCTGGTGGTGGCCTAGTGGCAAGAAGTTGCATTGCAATATTGAAGGCATGTGGCTCGAATCCACCAGATGCTCTGCTAGAGAAGGATGGGCAATTTTCTTCTGTGCCAGTTGGATCCAATTTGATGGTACACAACAAGGACGGGGTGGGGGTTAAGCAATACAAGTGATCATCATGCTGAATTAACTCTGTTTTATAAGGACAAATATTGCATAAGACGATTATTGTGAAAATAGACAACTAATAAGATGTGTATAAAAGTCCATTGAGATTGTTCACAGCTTCAGTTTGCTCGGCTCCACGGTAAACACTCTTGGCACCAGTAGCCAGGAAATCAAAAAACGTATTGCGGTGGGAAAGTCTGCAGTTAGGGACCTCTCTAAAGTACTCAAGAGCAACAGTGTCTCTCTGGAGACTAAGGTGCGCCTGATACAGGCCATGGTTTTTTCAATCACTTGTTATGCATCAGAGAGTTAGACAATGACTAGGGAGGACAGAAGGAGAATTGACGCCTTTGAGCTGTGGTGCTGGAGAAGAGTATTGAATGTATCATGGACTGCCAAGAAAACAAACAGATTCATCGTAGAGAGGATTAAACCAGGCTGCTCCTTGAAGGCAAGGATTCTGGGGCTTCGCTTGACATACTCTGGACATGTTGTAAGGAGAGATAGGTCTTTAGAGAAGGACATCATGCTGGGTAGAGTAGAGGGACAGCGCAGGAGGGGAAGACCCTCTATGAGGTGGATTGATTCAGTGACTAGGGTAATCGGGATGGGTGTGTCAGAGGCATTGAGATTGGCACAGGATAGAGCACGGTTTAGGGCTGTTGTACATAGGGTCACTATGAGTCGCAAGCGACTCGACAGCACATAACAACAACAATAAAAGTCCAAAGGGGAACAGGAAGGGGGCAATGGGGTAAGGGAATAGAAAATGGGAAGGGAGAGAATCAGTAGTTAAACAGTATTTTGTGGGCAGATGAGGATGGAAAGATTCAATGAAGACCTGAAATGACAGGGTAATTGTAGGCATAGATCAATGATGATCAAAATTACAAAACACAATGTATATGAATGACTGTAGAAAACACAATGTGAATGTAGGAATGTGTGAAACACAATGTACATGAATAAAACACTATGTATATGAATTTTATAAGCTAACTAATATGAAAGAAAATGTTTAAAAGAGATTAAGAAAACAGGCAGGTTCTAAGAAAGTGAGTTCACTGTTCAGATTTCCTTGTTTAAATTAATCTTGAGTATTTCATGACAATTCATAAAGAGTGCTAGACCAGCATCCTTTGTCTGTGTCCAGGTTAATAACATTCTTGTCAGGCCAGGCCTCCTGCCATGTGCTGAGAATGTCAGCATTTTATCTGAGGGTTGTCTGACCAAGGGGGCCCACACTGCCAACTTGTGTAGGGAGAGTCAGGCAGGACTGGCCCTGTTTAATGAATTCACACACGTAAGACAAGCTGGAGAAAATGGAGCCATAACTGGACCCATCTGTCCCTATGCTCCTTAAGAAGCAAAGACATCAAGCAACTTTTTTATTTTCCGTTTAGACAGTGTATAGTTTTAAATGAAGCTACATAAACACTATCTCTGTTGTGAAACACAGATCAGGCAAGCAGAGATTTCAAAATCAGTTCATGGGCCATGACCTCTGTGACCTGCCGTCAATGATTCTGACACATGATGCCCTCTGGGTGTCAGGGCAGAACTGGGCTCCACAGGGTTGTCAATGACTGTGACTTGGAAGCAAACCTCCCTCATTGGGGAGTCACTGGGCAACATAAGGGGCCCAACTCCATGGACATGAGTCACTGCTGCTCTAATGTCCACAGGTGGAGGAGGGCAGCCTTACCAAAGATGAGCAAAGGGACCTTGCGTCTTAAAAACATCATCTGGACCAAGTATAAGTTTTTTGTCTGTGGTTTGCTCTAGCTGTGTTTTTACTTTTCCTTCAGTCTCACTTGACAAACAAAAGAGTTCTTCCCCAAATGTCAGTCAAAAGAGCAAATGCCAGAAATGGGTGGGTAGGTGCTAATTAATAATTTTTCACAGAAGGCCAAAGAGCCTACATTTAGAGGCTTTGGCATTTAGGTCCAAACCACACACTGTATAAAATGCAACAGGGCTACTAGTACCATATGATGCCCCAGTACTCAGGATTCAGAACTCTAAGCAGAATTTTCTGGTCTCCCGACTTAGATGAAGAAGTCATGCCATGCTCCTTGCTGAGCTGGTGTGTGTCAGGCACCAGACTAGAGACTCTGGAGAGATGATTAAGATACGGGTTTCTTGCCTTCAGACGATCCCTTCTGCTTGAAATCGAAGTATAACAGAGCTTCCCTTCTAGCTACGAAGGGAGGAAGGTTCACTCATTTTGGGGAGATGTGGAGCCCTAGTTGTGCTTCTAGTTCATGGCGTTGTCCACATCTGGACTGCAGAAAGCACTGGTGAGGAGGAAGAGCAAAGGGAAGACCCTGAGAAATGGGCCACTCCCTCCACTCGACATACTGCACAGGTTAAGAGCCTGGCCTGGATCTGAGGAGCCACAGGGGAAGGTGTGGGGAGCCCCTGGGGCTCGGCCTCTCCTTCAGCATGTGGCTTATGGAAGAGAGGATGGCTGCAGAGGCGCTTGGGGTATCCAAATGGAGAGAAGATAGAAAGCTGGAGTGAGAATGTTTTCTCTCATGGAAGCAGAAGCCCTCCCCACGCGGGGCTGCTTAACCACTTTGGAGCTGAGCTCAGGCCTCTGAGGGGAGGAGGTGGGAGAGAGAGAGAGAGAACAAATTCATTTTGTGCTTTTAAAATTTCTAAGCACAGCTTAGGAAGCTATATTGTTTTCTGGTTTTTAAGTTTTTGCGGTTTTTTTTCTTTTTAAAAACCTTTCTCTTGCCTGGGAGACTCATTACAATTCCCCAATCTGTTATGACTCTTCCGTAGCCCACAGTTTCTGATTCTCCTCTCTCTCTCTCCCCTCCTCTGTGTGGCATTCCGACACCACGTTTGGTTTATAAAATTTCTATAAATAAAAAGGATACACCAAGTGTTCACATGCAAAATAACAATCCAAGGGGGAAATTCAGAAAGAGTAAAAGTGCTGAAGCAGAATGTTTGTGCTGCTCTTGGGAGGATTCCAGGGTGAGAGCTCGCTGGCGCACGCCGAGCCCGTCAGATGGTATGCTGTTTGCAGCCAGGTATGAGAAAGCATCCAAAGAAGAAATAATTGCATCCTTCTCATCTACCAAAGGAGCAGGGTAGAAGCAATCGGTATCTGTCATGGGTTGGGAGGGTGGGGAAAATGCATACACATGCAGAAAAAGCAACTTAGTTTATTTTACCAGTAAGTGCTGAGAGATCTTTTCACGTTTGGGAAATGACATGAAAATTACAGAATTTTACCTCGAGAGATGATTCTACCTTCATAATATTATGGTAGCTCACTTCATAACCATAAATTATATCTGTTCCCTGCATATTGCTCTTCCGTGTGCTCTGCTTGAGAGGCGGCAAACTGTTTGCTGTGTGAAATTGCTATTGAGACTGCCTGTGAGACCACAGTTAATAAATAACAAAGGGAAAATGAGAGGCTGGGGGAAAGGAAAACCAAGAGGAAAATAACGGGGAAGTGACATGGGAAGAGAAGACTAAAGCAGGCATCGGGGAAATTCTATTCAGGTTAGTAAAGGAAGTGACTTTCTTGTTTCATCTTGCTTTGAAAGGCTGGTGGCATCTTGTTTACTAAACAAATAAGATAGACATGTATAAGTAATAAAGCTGAGTTTTCAATCCACGGCAGACCATCAATTTCATAACTCTACAGGTTCAGAATTTTGGTCACTGGTGTTTATGATCTATTGACACGGGCAGAAACCACCTGCTGTGAGAGGTGTGACGTTAGCACAGGCCAGAAGCCACCTAGAAGGAGAGAGTGCTGTTCAAGGCAATCAGAAAGAGAAGCAAATACATCTGGTGTTGGAAAAAGGAAGGCCTGCTGGGGAAGGAAAAATAAGAGGGACTGGAGAAGTAAAGGTGCTCTGGAGGCACGGTGGTCGAGCACCTGGTTGTTAAGGAAGGTCAGCGTTTTGAATTTACCAGCTGCTCCTCAAGGGGAAGAACGACTAAGGATTAAGCCTGGGAAAGCCTATGGGACTGTTCTACTCTGTGCTACAGCATTGCTCTAAGTCACAACTGATTCCATGGCAATGGGTCTGTTCTACTGTGTCCTATAGCATTGCTGTAAGTTGCAATTGATTCAATAACAATGCATCTTTTTTACTTGGATTTCAGTTAATGATGAGATTCTAAACTTTCTTCTATGGCCTCTGACAATATAAGTAACTAAACTGACTCTTAGCTGACCCTCCACTGGATTTCTTAGATAGCAAATCACACAGGAGGGGAATGCCCATCTTTCTCCCTGGGATTCACCCATGGATTGTTATTATGCACCAGTGCATGAGAGGATACTATCCACCTTTCTCCTGCAGAACAGTTGATGGATTCAAACTGTGTGCTTTTGGATTGACAGTGCAACTTCTCACATTTAAGCCACAGTTTATTGAGTCCTCTTTATACAACAAAAGGAGCCCTGGTGGCGAAGCACATAACACACATGGCTGCTAACTAGAAAGTCAGAAGTTTGAACCCACCAGCTGCTCCTCAGAACAATGATGGTTAGTCTCTGAACATAAGATTTACAGCCTCAGAAATTCAAAGGCGGATCACCATGAGCTTTATCCGCCTGACACTTTGTGTATATTATTTCACTGAACTTTAACATCAATCCGGCAAATGCATCAAGATCCCAGTTTATAGCTGAAGAAACTGAGGCTTCTCCTTGGTTGAATAATACTCAAGACTTTCTTAGACTATGAAGTATCTCAGCTGAGATTTGAACCCAAGGCACTTGACTTTGGATCAGTCCTTAAAATAAAAACTATCAAACCCACAGCTGTCGAGTTGATTCTAACTCATGACCGCTCTTCCCTTGGATTTGCAAGGCTGTAAATTTTTACAGGAACAGAATTACTAATCTTTCTACTGCAAAGTGACTGCTGGATTTAACTGCCAACCTTTTAGTTAGCAGTTCAACACACAACCACTATGCTTAGGCCTCTGCATTATAGTCAAGGATTCGAGAAAGCCTGGCATCATCAGGACAAGGCTTGTGTATTTAGCTCTATTATACAGTGATGAGAATGAACTCAAGTGTCACAAACCTGTGTCAAACAAGGTCCTGCATTTCTAGATGACATCTGAGACTCACAGAACTAGAAAGAGATTGCAACACAAAGAAACACACTTTGAGCTGTTCTCATAAAGGTGTGATTTCTATGCCAGGATTTGGAACAATATTTGAGGGCCCTTCAAACTTGAATTTGTAATGATGATCTGCCCCATTCCCTATGGAACTTACCTTGGTTGTCGTTTCTAAAACAATTTCTTTGTGCAGAAGCTCAACCACCATTTTCACATGGCCTTCTTTGGAGGCCAAATGCAGGCCGTTCAACCCATTCTGTAAAGAGAGTCAAGAAGAGTGGGTTAGTCAGACTCTACCTTCTGATGGCCCAAGTGGCTGAGAGTGAGGCCATGGGATGGGTAACGGATGAGAAGGGAGGAGCGAGAAGGGTTCTGAGAGGTATAGAATGTGTGCCAGGCAACCCAGACTCTTTCATCACCTCTTCCATGGGAATAGCAGATAGCAGGTGATCAGGGAAAGAAAGATCCCTGGTATCAAGCCAATTCTGACTCATAATGACGCTACAGGGCAGAGGAGAACTGACCCACAGAGTTACCAGGGAGGTCAACTTTGTGCACTCTTCGTGCTTGCTCATCTTTCTTCTCAGAAGTAACTAGTGTGTTAAATCATCAAGCTTTTGGCTAGTCCTGAGCATTTATCCTCTGCAATACCAGGACTCCTTAAGGGAGGAAAGGAAGAGTGATAATACCTCCACCCTCTGGGTGTTGATGGAAGGTGGGAAGTTCTCACAAAACCAATGGGTGACACTAAAATTATTTATGGGAGATCTAGGAGCTATCTTATAAAGACAAGACCAGCATTAATCGGTGTGGAAAGTTATACAAACATGGTAAGAAAGTAAGCCAGACAAACAATAATATAATAGCTATTACTCTCAAATGCACGGAACTTGAACAACATGTAATATGAGCTTGAATTTACGAACAAAATCAAGGAATGGCAAGTTATGATTATAAAAAGTATCTATGTATTGTTCCAAAAAACCAAAGAAAGCAGTGCCTCTAAAATTCCAATACTGTACCAGTACTAGGCATTCCATTTAACAGAAATGATATTGCTTCAAAACAACTGTGAGATATCATCTCACCCCAGTAAGAATAGCAAAATTTAACAGAACAGCAAACATCAAATGCTGGTGAAGTTGTGGAGAAACTAGAACCCTTATTCACTGTTGGTGGAAGTGTAAAATGGTGCCACCACAGTAGAAGGCTCTATGGTGCTTTCTCAAAAAGTTGCAAATAGAAATATTTATTTGACTCAGCAATTCCACTACTGTGAATTTACTCTAAAGTAACCATAACCTCCACCCACGTTTATTGTGACTTTGTTCATAGCAGCAAAGAGCTGGAAACAATCCAAGTGCCCATCAACAAATGAATGGCTAGAGAAGCTGTGGTATATTCACATTCAATGGTATATTCAATGGGCAACATTGAATAACAAGGAACTCATGAAATACTATGCAAAATGGGTGCCCCTGGAGGACATTATGCTGAGTGAATTACCTCAGCACAAAAGGACAAATCTTGCATAGGGCCACTGTTGTAAAATGGGACTGACATCGGGGTTGAGGTAAGGCAGAGAAGGAGGGGAGGAATGAAACATATGAGGAAGAGAACTCTTTAAAAGGGATCTATGATTAGGTATTCTCATGACAGGAGTCTAGAATGAAGGGTGTGTGCAGTGGAGTGGACTTGGGGAGAGGGATTGCATAACAATGAAAGAGTTTTTCTTTTACTTTTCAAGGAGAGGAGTTAATTGGGGGGGCAGGGAGAAAAGTACAACAATGAATGACTGGAAACACTAAGTCTCTGTAAACTTCTATTAAAATTAAGAATAATAAAAAAGAAATTATATTGCTTCAACCCTCTGGTTATTTCTCACAGCAGTGACCATGTAAAGCAAAAAGGCAGGATCAGTGCATCCTAAACATTTGTATAAATGGACAAATATTTAACAACATATGTTTAGTATAAGGATGATTTTGAGATATATGTGAATTAACCTGGAGTTTATTTTCAAATACCCGGACATAAAATTTCCACAAAAGAAGAATCAATATTAGAATGATCTTCTTAAAATAAATAAAGCAAAGGAATATATATATTCTAGTTTCCTTGTAATCTCATCATTTTAAATGTGATCAAAGCCTGCTTGACAGTTAAGTTTTAGGAAAGGGATAAAGGGTGGGGGGAAAATCACATGTTTAATTACACAAATATCCATCCACAGAAGCAGAAGTCTCACTAACAAACTGAAATTGCCAATGTATCAGATGAGGGCATCTCTGTAGTCTAGAAATCAGTTTAGCTCAACTGTCATGTATTCTTCTGATGTTACATAATCTTCCATCCTTGCACTTAGGTGGCTTGAAACTTTGTGGCAAAAGATGTCTTCAAAGAGTGCTACCTAGAGTCACAGATCATTTTGACAACATGCTGGAATTAAACTTCAATTCCAGAGGATGACACAAACTTGGGTCTAGGTACAAATATGAGAAATTTCCATCTCCTTTTAAGTTTTGCTTCCCTTTCATTCCCTCCTCAACAAAAATTCCTGATTCTCCTCCCACTTCTCTTTCTAACTCCACTTTGGTTAATCTTGTGCCAGTGTATTGTTTTTCATAGGCTGTCCCCAAACCATTACAGATTCTAGTTAATAAGATAGCTACTCTCCCCCAGGATGGAGAATGTAGGCTCCTGATAGATGGCAGGATTTGAGGTGTCCCTGACTCACTTGCCCCCAAATATCTCTACAGTCTACCATGAGTTAATGGAATCCCACTCTTCCTTTGGGCCAGGGTACTATTTTCAGTACATTCCTGTAAAGCACAAATATTCTACTCGGGAACAGTGATATATTAACTCATTGACAAATCAGTCATATTTCCATGTTGTATCCATCTACCAAGAGCTCTGGCAGCCTAGCGGGTAAGCAGTTGCAAGGCCAACCCAAACCCAGGTAGTCAGAACTACCAGCTACTTGGCAGAAGATAAATGGATAATCTCCTCTAATGTGATTTACAGCTGAGTGGCAATGAGGTGAGCTTGTTATGTTGCTATCCTTTCAATAAAGAAAAGTAGCCTGGGGTATGAGACATAGGACAGGTATGTCAGGATGGGAAAATGGAAGGTACCAAGAGAACTTGACCTACTTCCAATGTGGATCAAGCTACCTCTGTCCCCCTAAACACCTGATGTGTGCAGTTAGCTGGATCAACATATATCAGCACAACCGTCCTTACCTGGATAGGGGCAATAAGAGAGAGAGAGAGAGAGAGAGAGAGAGAAAACAGGTGCAGCCCTTGACTAAATACTTTCACCATGACCAATTATCTCCACTATGTAAATGCTTGAGAATCACCGACAGAAATATAGTCCCCTTGCAGGTTTTATCATTAAATGTGAAGTTCAAAGCTGTAGGAATTCTCATCCCAGTGTGAATGAGTTTATCTGATTAGAGCTAGGTCAGAGCCAGTTTTGATAACAGAATGAGAAACATGGCAGGAGGCAAGGATGAGAATCAGCCAGTACCCCTCAGATCAATGTACAAAGCACGAATTCACCAGGAAGCAACTGTCACATGCCTGCATCTCTGAAAGCCTGGAGCCGCTTCCTCCCATTTTGCCTTGCTTGGCTCTGCCTTGGTCAGGTACGCCCAGGAGGAGTTTCTCCTTCCTCCCCAAACAGTGCTATTTGAGTAGTATGCAGCATCTTTAGCTTCCCTCTTCACACTCAGCTTCAGAGCTGCTGAGATGGTTTCCAGTGCCGAGAGCAGGCACCATGTGATTCCTTGGGAACTTGTGGTGATGTTTGCGGCTGTGGGATGATAGGTTGGAAAGACAGGCTCAGCAGCTGCTGCAGTCTGATTACTGCAGGGAATCTCCCAGAAGCAGCATCGAGCTTTGACTTGGTGCTGACTGCTGGGGTTTTATTGCTTACTTGGGCATCGCAGTCACTCAGATGAGCATCCATTCTGAATGCCTCCAAGCTCGGGAGCTGGTAAGTCTGCAAAGAAAATACCTAAGGTTTACTGCTAATGCTAGTGGTCCCATTTGACCAGAGGATGGGATGCTAGCCATCAAGGCAGTGAAACTCCTTGGATTTTTCCCCCTTCATCAACATTGAGGATATCATAGATCATAGTAGTCAAATGACTAGATAAGACCACAGAGCTCTTCCAGGGCACAGCAACACAGAACAAAGCAGGTTTTCCCAGGGAAAGAAGGGGTGCTGTTTTTTTCTCATAGAAGCATGTGCACTTCTTTTCATCAGATGAGAAAACCTATCTCCTCTCCTCTCCTCTCCTCTCCTCTCCTCTCCTCTCCTCTTCCCCAGGAAGTCTGAAGCTAAAGCTTATTTTAAATAATCATCCCTATGGATTAGGTGGTGATCTCTATAGTTGATTTCTAGGGGACTATGCATCTCCATAGAAAGCACCTTTTCTTTCCCTGTACCATATATCACACATCCATCACTGCTTATTGGTTTAAGAGGATGATGGGCAAGAAAGGGACCATCTGAGTGGATATACATCTTTCACAGTCTCACTAAGCTAATCAGGATTCTAGCTCAACAATCTCTCTTGTTTTGGTCCAACAATTTCTCTTCTTTATGGCTCTGTATTTTGACTTTAGTTTCTTTTAACATAATCATTGTTTGATACTTCCAAGTTTGTTACTGGGGTGATCTGAATCGAGTACCCTCATGAGAGCTGGAGAACAGAGTACCACCTGGCATAGCTAATGGCAGGCATACAAAAAAGTGCAGGGATTTAACGTATAATCAAACAACACACAAAGCATTACCATAACAAACTGTTGCTACAACTATAGGCATAGTCAGTGCTGTTATTTCAGGTTGACCATTTGCTGAATCAAATCTAATGCTTATTGAGAGTATTCCTTGGTGAGGGACATAATGCATGGAGAGGTGGAGGGCCAGTGAAAGAGAGGAAGACCCTCACCCAGATGGATTGACACAGTGAGTGCAGCAATGGGCTCAAGTGTATTAGAGATGATAAGGATAGCACAGGGGAGGAGAGGGTTCTGATCGGTTGTTCCGAGAGTTGCTATGCATCACAGTCAAGTCATACTGATCCTGTGAACAACAGATTCCAACCCTGTCCTATCCTGTGCCATCCACGTCATCTCTGACACACTTGGCTCAAAGGCACTTAAGAAAACAACAACAACAACAACTACAACAATAATTTTGTGCCTGGTATTGTGTTCTAAGCACTCAATACTGGCACCTTGGTTCTGACTCATTTTTTTTTCCTCACTTGCAAATCTTTCTCTTTATTAACATAATTAACCTTTGCTTGGAAAGCAAGCATTAAGAACTGCTCACATAGCATCATTGGATTATTACAATTACGCACAGAGGGTTGAGTCTTCAACTCATTCAAGTTAAAATAGGCAATGAGAGAGAGAGAGGCTCTAGTTCCCAGGAAGGCTAAACCTCTACAGTCAGCATTCAAAGAATTAATGTGTAAATATTAAGAGAATCATAGAGTGCTTCATTCTTCTGGCTAATTAAAAAGAGGTGATGTGAGGCCCAGGTGATGGTTAATATCATATAGGCAAGACCCAAGTCCACACCCTGTCCTGAATCAACTGCTATGACAAAAGTCTTCTTGGTTAAGTCGTTTGAACCCACAGTGACAGAGTAGGTCCCTGGAGATACTTCTATGTAAAGGTCCTTAGCAGGGTATTCAGCAGACTGGGATGCTTATAGGTCACACTGTGATCCTTGACAGATGCCTTCAAGGCTAAGTGCTGTGTTCTGTCTCTGACCATTCCTCAAGTCTGAGCACAAGGAGAACTCTGCTTTTCCTCGTGGTAATGATAAACAACCTTACTCACTGAAACTGAGGAGGACCTCGTGCACTTACTGCAGAGGGTCAAGGACTGCAGCCTTCAGTATGGACTGAGGCTCAATGTCAAGAAGACAAAGATTCTCACCACTGGACCAATTGGTAGCATCAGGATGGATGGCGAAGAGATTGAGATTGTTCATGGCTTCAGTTTTCTCGACTCCACGGTCAACACTCTTGGCACCAGCAGCCAGGAAATAAAAAAATGTATTGCAATGGGAAAGTCTGCGGTTAGGGACCTCTCCAAAGTACTCAAGAGCAACGGTGTCTCTTTGGAGATGAAGGTGCGCCTGATAAAGGCCATGGTCTTTGCAATCACTTGTTATGCATCAGAGAGTTGGACAATGACTAGGGAGGATAGAAGGAGAATTGATGCCTTTGAGCTGTGGTGCTGGAGAAGAGTATTGAATGTACCATGGACTGCCAAGAAAACAAACAGATTCATCCTAGAGAGGGTTAAACCAGGCCACTCCTTGGAGGCAAAGATTCTGGGGCTTCGTCTGACATAATTTGGACATGTTGCAAGGAGAGACAGGTCTTTGGAGAGGGACATCATGCTTGGTAGGGTAGAGGGACAGTGCAGGAGGGGCAGACCCTCTATGAGGTAGATTGATTCAGTGACTGGGGTAATCGGGATGAGTGTGTCAGAGGCAATGCGATTGGCACAGGACAGAGCAGAGTTTAAGGCTGTTGTACATAGGGTCGCTATGAATCGCAAACGACTCGATGTCACATAACAACAACAACAATGATATACATGGTTTGCCCCTCCTTCCTCTGGCACAGGTGCATAGTATTTCCCACACTGACTAGAAGCACAAGTCGGCCATTGTTCTGAAGGAAGTATTGAGGGTAGGACATCTCTCTTCTCTTGGGCCCGCTTATCCAGGTGCATGTGCTCAGCCCTCTCACACAGCTGGGCAGAGCCTGGAGCTCCAGGTGCCGGAGCAACAAGTGTTTGTGGTTCTGACTCTTACCAGTCCTCCGCCAGGTTTCCAAAGCTGCTGGACTGGGAGGCGAATTCCCATCCTTCTCCCTGAACCTGCTTACTAGTGGACTGGGAACTGCTGGAGACCCACAGCTTTTGAGTTAGGAGCATAACTCCAGATGGATTATGCCCCCAGAGATCCCTTGGTACTGTGCTAGGGACAAAATAGAAACACTGAACCTTGAGAAACTCAGTGGAAGAAGCACACTTAAAAAAAAAATTGAAAAAGTCAGAATGTCATGTACAAACTTTGTTGTGTTGTTGAATACCATTGAGTCAGAAACAACCAAGAACTGATCCTCCAGCAGATTTCCAGAGCTGGTAAACCTCGTATGAACTAGAGGTGGAAAAGCAAAGCAAAGAGATAAAAGACTACAAGTAGAGCAGAAGAGAAAGGACTTGCTCTGTCAGGGGAGTAAAGAAAGTTTTATAGAGGTGCTTTTAAGTCAAGAAGCAGTTAGCACAAAGCCACAGGTTTACGCTTACTCATACCTGCAAGATAAGATCCATGTCTGGGTTGAAAGCCCCAAAGTAAAATTTTAGAAGATTTGCTCTTGGTCACTCTCCTTATCCTTTCTCACAGCCTTTGAAGTCAAGAAATTAAACGTAAACATCGACAGCAACAAGTTCCTATCAGCTTGCCTCGGCAGGTGGATGGCTGGTCGTCATCCTTAAGTAATCACCACTCAGCAACCGATGCCCTTAGATACCTGGGAACTAATTGACTGCACATCTACACTAAGGAGCTTGTGCTATTGTCTTACTACATTCATAACCAGGCCATGCAGGAGATCTTTTTCTACACAGGAAAGAGTGCTTCATGAATAAATACCATAATTAATACTTTCTTTTAGCAGATTATTTTATTGTTCAAATGAGAAGAGGAAAGAAAAAGTGGAAATTAGGTGAGCTACTTGTTCTTAGCTATAACTGCTGACAGAGATGACCTGTAAGCCACAATGTCCTCAAAACCCATATGTTTTATTTTGTTAAATTGTCTTTAAGTTGCTTACTGAGAATAAAGGGCAGAGTGCTGATTTTTGTGTCACATTTTTTCAACTGTTCTAACCTTCACAGTCACTCCTCTTGATACCCAATGGTATACAGGCTGTTAAGAGGGATTATGAAAACAAAAATAAAGCACATACTTCCTCCCCCAAATAACAGGGTGTAGAAGATAAGCAAGAAGAAGGAAAGGAATCTGAGAGTATATGCTTCAGCTAAATGAGAAGCTGAGACGCAAAGCAACTACTTGTGACCATTTTTAACCATATGTCTTTCTCAAGAGAAAGCACCAGCTTGCCAGATTTCTCTTCCAGATTCTCTTTAGGATAAATGTTAGACCAGTTGATACTATTCCACAGCTCTTAACGGTTCTGCTCTGGTTTCCACTCCATCACGTATTTCTTTCTTTGTTTAATTTGGGTAATTGGTGCTCATTTACATTTTAGGCTTCCCCTCTCTCCCTCACACATTTTTTCCTTACTTACGTCCAATCTACTGACTAGTCTGGTGAAGAAATTCCTCATAGTGGTATTTTCTTTTTAAAAAAACCCAGCCTGTTTATTTTTTAGCATTTCATTTGACGTTTTCTTATAACTTCCATGTCTTTGCTGAAATTCCCTACACGTTTATGAATACTGTCCACTTTTCTCCTAGATTCTTAAATACATTAATTGTAATTATTTTAAATTTAATTTTATTATTGTAACCTACAGCTTTGAATTCAGTTCTGCCAATTGCTTTGTCTCTTGAGAATAGCTTGATATTTTCCTGCTGTTTGGTGTTTTGTAATTTTTAACTGAGTGGTTAAAAATGAGGCAACATTTATAGAAGAACAGTAAAGACTTAGTAAATAGTAAATATGTGTTTCACTGAGAAAACCTCCTGTCAAGGGCCTCTCCAAAAAAGAGCAACAATGGCAGTTTAAAGATTAAAGTGTGTGTAATTCAAGCTTTGGTATTTTAAATTTCATCCTATGCATCTGAAAATTGGTCACTGAAAAAGGATAACAGAACAATTGACACTTTTGAAGTGTGGTGTTAGAGAAGAAGAGTACTGAATGTTCCCCTGACTGCCAAAAGAACAAGTAAGTATATCTTAGAGGAAGTACAACTAGTGTACTCCTGGTGAAACTTTGTCTCAAAATGTGGGACACATTGTCAGGAGAGATTAGTCCTTGGAAGAAGACATCATACTGGGAAAGGTGGAAGGTCGGAGAAAAAGAGAAGAGATTCTCAACAAGATAAGTGGACACAGTGACTGCAACAAGGGGCTGGAACGTATTAGAGACGGTGAGGATGCTCTAGCACAAGGCAAGGTTCCTATCTGTTCTTCATAAAGTCACTATCAGTTGTAATATACTTGACAGCATAAAACCACCACTACTAACTACATTCTGAAGTAACTTATCCCTGTGCTTCTTATGACCACTGTGGTGTGTAAGTAAAGTTTAGTGTTCAAAATGTCTTTCCTAGACATTGAATTTGATTTGGCTGTATACAATTAACAACCTTGGTGCCAGCAGTCAGGAGATCAGGAGATATACTGCACTGGGAAAATCTGCAATTAGGGGCCTCTCCAAATTATTGAGGAGTAATGATGTCAGTTTGAGGACTAAGGTGCATCTGATTCACACCGTATTTTTTTTAATCATTTGCTATGAATCTGAGAGCTGGGAAATGAAGAAGGATAACAGAATAAGAATTTATGCCTTTGAGCTGTGGTGTTAGAGAGGAGCATTGAAGATCAGATGGACGGCCAAGAGAACAAACAGATATGTCTTGGAGACTGCCAGAGTGCTCCTTGAAGGCGAGAATGATGAGGCTTCACCTCACATACTTTGGGCATATTGTTAGAAGGTGCCATTCCTTGGAGAAGGACATGATGCTGGGAAGGGGGGAGGGTCAGTGAAGGAGAGAGAGATCCTCAACCAGGTGGATTGACACAGTGACTGCTGCAACGGGCTCTTGTGTGTCAGGAATTGCGAGGAAAGTGCAGGAAAGAGCAAGGCTCAGATTTTCTGTTCATAGGGTCACTATGAGTCATACTTAACTTGATGGCACCTAACAACAAAAAACATGTGGAGGGTGTGTCAGCCTGTCTAAAATAGGGTTAGCTCGTTTTACCAATCCGTAAGAGTACTGGCTAGTCTCACCAATCCACAAGGGATTTGGCTAGCTTCACCATTAAATTGAGCAGATCCAGCAACAGAAAGAGGAACCTCACTAAATAAGCAAGCAGGAGAATGCAAACAGTTCTTCAGGACACCAGACAGAATAGGAGGGCCTGTGGGGAGAGCAACCACAGTAGCCATGGCGTAGAACCAGAGACCTGACGTGAGATGGGACTTTGGAACTGCTACACCATTGGAACCAGAGCTGAGAGCCTTTGCCCAAGTTTGTTGGACAACTGGGGGAGGGGAGCCCATAATTCTCAGGACTGAGAACCTTGTAACACCGGCCTAAAGCCACAAGGCTGAAGGGTTGGGTGACTGTGAGCACACTTTGGAAGCCATCCTGACTGTATTCAGCTGTTTTTATGTGCCGTCAAGTCGTCTGCTACTCATTGCGACCCAATGAATAACAGCCCTAAACCCTGCTCTATCCCTTGCCAATCTCACTGTCTCCAGTACCCCCATTGCCCCAGTGACTGAATCAGTCCATCTCATCAAGGGTCTTTCTCTCCTGTGCTGTCCCTCCACTCTCCCAAGCATGACATCTCTCTCCAAGGACTCATGGTGAACAAAAATTGACTATTTACATGTAAATTAAAAGTTCAAGGAACTTCCAGGGTGACACTCAGAACTGGCTTGCACTGAGCAAGATTTAATAAATTATAAACTATAGATATACATAAAAGGATTAAAAGAAAAGAAAAAAAACATGTATTAAGAGCAATGGAATAATTTTTAGCAGACTCCATTTCAGTCTAAGAAATGAAGCGGTATTGCCTTTTCCACATGATCAGCTCAGTCAGTCCAAGATATGCTCTTTTTATGTATAAACTCAAAGTAAAACTTGATACTTGCCAAATGACTGAATGTTTAATCCTGTTGAAATAAATTAGTTTGAGGCTCTCCTCATTCTAAAATAAAATTTTCTCCTGGCAGTTACAAGAGAAAGTCCTCTACAGCTGGCCTGCTTACAACTACTAACCCGGACTATAACCCTTTGACTCCTCCAACATGGGTCTGTGTGGTCTGTGAGCTATCACATCAAATTTTGGACCCAGTAAAGCAGTAAGATTGGTGTTGAAATGAGCAGAAAGAGGTATGGGTGTGTGTGGGGTCACATCTGACCTCATGGGAATCGGTTTTGTGTTATGGGTGCTGTGGCGAGGACAGTTCCTTTTTGCAAAGTTGGTAAAGGTCAGATACTTTCATCCCCATGGCCTTTACTCATTTTACTATTGGGGCCAGAAGTGGTATTGCCTGGGACATATCCAGACTCATGGAATGTGAGATTTTGTAAGCCTGACAAGTTAGAAGCTTGGGAAGTGCAATTAAAATGGCTACTTTGCTACTACTAAAGTGGAAAGAAAAGTCAAGTCTCTTTTTTGCCTTAGACAAGGGCACAGGCCCCATATGCACTTGAATGAGTTAGGGCTAGAGAATGAAGGTGGAAAAAGCTTTATGTGTTAAGGTTTTTGGTGATTTAACTTTATGAATATTGCTATTTCTTTCATAAATAATTAAGAGTTTTGTTGATGTAATGCTGTGATGTATACGAGAAATAATTACTAGATACTATAAACCTTGAAAGTCTGTAAGTCTGCCCCGGGGCCAGTGTTGAGAGGAAGGGATATTTGTATTTGAATAATAGACCTTCCTTATTGAAGAGATAATTTGGAGAGAGAGAGAGAGAGAGAGAGAGAGAGAGAGAGAGAGGCTTTGACTGTTTAAAGTTAGAACAAGCAGCTTAGTTTCTGAAGCAGGGTAATGTTGGTACTTATGAGAGCTCCTTTAAAGGACTTAAAGGGAACTGGCATGTGACCTCACTGGTGGTGGCCACCTGAATCCATTGGAATGGAATTAGGAGGCATGCAACATTGAGAGAAGGGCTAAGCTTGGATATGTTCCATCAGCACTACTGACCTAGCGTGCACAGACGTATGTAAAGCACAAAAGGGTGACTGGCTTGAGAAGCAGGGAATCATGTGGATCCCATCTTGTTTATTTGGCCCCATGTGGGGGCAAATACTGAGTGAAAGTACCAGTCTATTTGGAATGCAGGTAGAAGTGTAGACTCTCGAGTTTAGAGTGATGCCAACTTAGACCTAGCCACTGATGGCTGGAGATAAGTTGACAAGAATCCAAGATGCTCCACATTCTGAACAAGTGTTGATTGTTGCAATCTGATGGTTTGTTCTTGACTGGACTTTGCTTATGAATGCAGATGCTAAATGCTCTAAATGGAATAGAAGATTCTTCAAAGATAAGAATATGCTTGTTACTTCAGAGTACTGGCTTGATAGGGATGAGTAAACTAGAAATTGGCTATCTACCAAGG